GTCACCCCACCGCATCGGAATTCATCCCCGGACCAACGATATCTATCAAACCCACGCTAAGCTTTCAACCATGTTCCCCGCGAGCGAATCCTCCCGAAAACGTTCCCACGCGAGCTCTGTGGCTGGTGATGGCCCGGCCTCCCGTACGCGGAGCCGAAGCCGTTCGATTAGCTCCCGCGTATCCAGCGCCTCTGGGCCTGGTGCGTTCCCAGCTTCATCTCCCCCAGAACGACCACTTTTAGCCTCTGGTGGCGTTGTAACGCCTCCCCAGGATCCCTTCAAGGCCCCCTCTAAGGGCGATCCTAAGGGCAAGGCCCCCGAGCTCCCAACGCCAACGCCAACCATACCTACCATCGTTCGCAGGAAATCCGCGATAACCCTGCCTACACAACCACCAGTTGCCTTCCCTACGATCGAGCCTACCACCGCGTACGATCCCCGTGTTGAGAACCTTACCCGCCAACTCACAACCCTTCGGCACAGCTACAAGAGCGAACTCTACTCCGCCAGCAAGGCCGCTGCTGGGCGTGCCGGGGCTCCGGGCACCGCTCAGCGCATGAGGTCTGCCCCAAGCAGAGCAGCCGCTCTAAGCAACTCAACGAGATCACCGCAGAAACCATCGCGGAGGACCTCGAGCAGGCGGAAAACGTATAGTCCCTGGTCATCGTCACGATCAGGGACTGGAGGAGCCAGAGATGGTGGTCAAAACTAAAAGTTCTCGTTCTTATTGCTTGTCTTCGTTGGCTGTCAACCCCTCTGCAGAGGCCTATCTGCAAAAGGGGCGGCATCTCGTCCTAAATTGTCATGTAGCCAACAGGAAGACCCCTACGTTAGTTGATAATGGCAGCGAAGTTGATGTTTTAGATCCGTCTCTGGCCCGTGCACTCCAGCTTACCACGTTTAAGCTATCCTCCCCTATTTCCTTACGCCTCGCGAATGACTCCCCCTATCAGACCATCACTGAAGCCGCCCTAGCCCCGTTACGCTTCGGCGAGCACGCTGAACAACGCCTGATCTACCTCGCCTCCCTCCCAACCTACAAACTCATCCTTGGAGACCCGTGGCTGAGCGACCATAACCCCCGGGTTGACTTTGCTGACCGCTATGTCTGCTTCAATTCAGCCCAGTGCTTTGAGAAGGGATGTCTTGACCATGCCCGCCCCTGTACTGTGTACGCCCGGGGCTCTCCCGTGCAGCCCACCAAGCGCGAAACCCCCACGGCTGACATCCAGTTCGTGAGCGCCCGCCTGTTCTTTATGCTGGCGAAGCGCCGCGACCACCACGGCTTCGTCATGATGCCCCGGCAGCAGGCCAAGCAGCTCTGCGCCACAACCACGGGGGCTGTACAGCCTGAGGACTATGACAAGTTCATGGCCGGCGCCCCAAAATACACGCTAGAGGAGCTTAAGAAACGTGTCCCCCGCGAGTACCACAGCGTGATCAAGGTCTTTATGAAGGAGGAAGCAAACCAGCTCCCCCCACATCGCCCTGAGGACCATGATATCCGGCTTACTGATGGCGCCGAACCCCCATTCTCCCGCAACTACCGGCCAACGAACATCCAGGAATGCGAGGTGATCCTGAAATATATAAAGGAGCACCTGGGTAAGGGTTTCATCCGGGCTAGCTCATCCCCAACAGCAGCCCCAGTCCTCGTTGTCCGCAAGCCTGGTGGTGACCTCCGTGTGTGCATCGACTACCGCGCGTTAAACGAGCTCACCATCAAGAACCGCTACCCGATCCCGCTCATCACTGACACGCTGGCGAAGCTCTCCCAAGCCAAGGTCTTCACAAAGCTCGACGTCGTTGCCGCGTTCAACCAGATACGCATGAAAGAGGGGAAGGAATGGCTCACTGCGTTTAACACGCGCTACGGGCAGTTTGAATACCTTGTCATGCCATTTGGCCTCTGTAACGCCCCCGGGACCTTCCAGAGTTATATTAACAACTCGATCCTTGACTACCTCGACATCTTCTGCACCGCGTACCTCGACGACGTCCTGGTATACAGCAACACCCCTGAAGAACACACTGACCACGTGCTAAAGGTCCTCCAACGGCTGCTCGATCGAGGCCTATACGTGGACATCGACAAGTGCGAATTCAGCGTCAAACAGGTCAAGTATCTTGGCCTGATTGTGAGCACGGATGGCATCAAGATGGACCCTGAGAAGGTCGAAGCGATCCTTAACTGGGAGACCCCCCAGTCTGTTAAGGATGTACAGGCTTTCCTGGGGTTCTGCGGCTTCTACCGGCGCTTTATCAAGGCCTTCTCGCAGCTAACACACCCCCTAAACGAGATCATGAAGGGCTCCGAGACGTATACGACGAAGACCGGGAAACGTCGCGTACGCTATCAACCATTTGAGTGGAATCCTAAGCGGGAAGCAGCCTTCCAGGCCCTGAAACAAGCCTTTATTAACGCCCCTGTATTAGCGCACTTTGACCCTGATAAAGAGACCTGGGTCGAGACAGACGCCTCAGACTTCGTGACTGCTGGCGTGCTATCCCAGATGCATGATGGCGAGCTACGCCCAGTGGCCTTCTTCTCAAAGAAGATGGCCCCTGCAGAGACTAACTACATGATCTATGATAAAGAGCTACTCGCGATTGTTCGAGCATTCGAGACATGGCGCCCAGAGCTCACCAGCGTACCCCCAGAGGGCCCGGTGAAGGTGCTATCTGACCACCGCAACCTGGAGTACTTCATGACCACAAAGCAACTAAACCGTCGTCAAGCCCGCTGGGCAGAGTTCCTCTCTGAATTCAACTTCAAGATCCAGTATCGCCCCGGGACGCAGGGGACCAAGCCTGATCTTCTTACCCGTCGGTCCCAAGACCTCCCTAAAGGTTTTGATGACGAGCGCGAGCAACAACAGTTTCAAACAGTCCTCCAGAACGAACACCTCGACGAGGACGTACAGAAGGCAATCTGCGCGACCTTTGCCGTCACCACCCGCGCTCGCGTCACCACGGTTGAAGAAGCCCCTGAAGAACCCCCTGAAGAACCCCCTGAAGCTGCCCCTGAAGCTGCCCCCGAAGCTGCCCTAGAGCCAGCCCAGTTAGTGGATAAATACGACGTCCCAGACCTCTTCTCAGACACTGACTCTGAGGTGAGCGAGCCTCCGGCCACCATGCCCGACGAAGATATCCCTGGGGACGCCCATAGGGACGTCACCCCCGAAGCAACCCCCGAACCAGAGGCTGAAGCCCCCAAAGAGCCCCTGGAGAACCTTATCACGGAGGCCTACGCGAACGATGAGCTTGTACAGGCCATGATCAAGGCAGTGAATGAAGGCCTACCACGGCTGCCCGCGCCTATTAGATCCCAAGGCGTTAAGCTCTCCATGGCAGACCTGACGATACGCGACAACCGGCTCTGGGTTAATGAGAGGCTCTATATCCCTGAAAGCGATCGTCTCCGGCAAAGGATTATAGAGACTCACCACCGACCAACCACTGCTGGCCACCCTGGGCGGAAGGGAACATACCGGAAGGTCATCCTCCACTATTATTGGCCGCGCATGCGCGATGACTGCAAGCGCTACAGTGACTACTGCCGTACCTGCGCGCGCTCGAGGGCCCGTAACACCTAGAAACAGGGCTTGCTTAGGCCGCTGCCTATCCCAGAGCGAAAGTGGCTTGACATCTCTATGGACCTTGCGGAAGACCTTCCCCCATGCACGCTAAATAACCTCACCTACCGCCACGTGCTGATCGTGGTCGACCGCCTGACGAAACAACGTATCTTCGAGCCGCTGCAGACCAAAGAAACCAGCGAGCTCGTGGAGGTCATGCACCGCCGCGTCTTCTGCGAGTTTGGTCTCCCTCGTTCAATTATATCAGACCGTGGGAGCGCCTTTATAAGCCATTTCTGGCGCCGATACTGCGCTCGCCACCATGTTTCTGTTAAACTGTCCTCCGCCAACCACCCTGAGACCGATGGCCAGTCTGAAAACGCTGTCAAGGGCCTAAAAAATTACCTCCGTGCCTACATTAACTACGCCCAGGACGACTGGGCCTGGTTCCTGCCTGATGCCCAGTTCGCCACGAACAACAACGTCAGTGAGACAACTGGCATGACACCTTTCTTCGCCTGCCACGCCTACCACCCCCGTACAGGCGCTGAACCTCCAGGCATGTATGGGGATCCCCCAAACCACCCCCAGGCACTCGCCGCGGACCAACTGGTTCAACGCACGCGCGAGACCGTGGAATTCCTTCAGGACGAGATCGCCTGGGCCCAAGGCTCCCATGAACGCTACGCCAACCAGCAACGCCAGCCCCATCCGCGCTATAACGTGGGAGACCTCGTGTACGTGGATGCCCGTCACTTCAACCTCCAGCGGAACAGCGAGTCGTTAGCCCCAAAGAACCTTGGGCCGTGGCCAATCAAGCGCGTGATCGATGGCAAGGCCTATGAGGTTGAACTACCAATTCACATGCTAAACGCTGGTATTACCCCTATTTTTCATCCGTGGAAGCTCCATCTTGCCTCGAACAACCCCCTCCCCGGCCAGGTAGCCGACCCCGAACCCCCAGTCATTGTCACCGACCCTGGCGATCCTGAAGGCCATGAGGAATGGGACGTGCGCGAGATTGTCAACTGCCGCATGTACCGCAACCACCACCAATACAAGGCTATATTTAATGGCCCGTGGGATGAGTGGAACGCTGATCCTCCATGGCAGCCCTGGACGGATTTCAAGAACGCGCCTGAGAAGATCCTTGCCTATCACTAATAGCACCCCGAGAAGCCCCCGCCACCTGATTTCTTCAACTAAACTTCGTGTACACATCCTTATTCTATCCTATATCTACGTCTCTGGCCGCGATATCTGCATTGTTAAGGGGGGGGGTAGTGTCACGGGCCTCGTCCCGCTTAGGTCATCGCCACGTGACAATTCTCTGTATATAGTCGGTCCCGCTTCGCGGAACCTCCATTAGTTCTCCATGCTTCGTATTTTAGTTTAATACGACCTTGTTCATCGAGAGACGTTCCTTACAACGCGCTTGGTCACATCATGTCACGGGCCTCGTCCCGCTTAGGTCATCGCCACGTGACAATCCTCTGTATATAGTCGGTCCCGCTTGCGGAACCTCCATTAGTTCTCCATGCTTCGTATGTTAGTTTAATACGACCTTGTTCATCCAGAGACGTTCCTTACAGGAATCGGGCTGGAGGATGAAAGCGGTTTGCTGCAATATGCCAGTCAATGGGAACAGTTGACCTTGTCCATGGCTCAGGATTGGAGGCATACACGGCTCGCCGATGAGCAGCAATCGCCACATGCTCCGTGTTGATAATACCAGAAGGCAAAATATCTGCCCACTAATTCTCCTAGCCTACAGGGTATGTGATGCGCCGAGTACTAGCCTACCGAGATAAAATGACAAGGCCGACTACTCCTTGTTTGACGAAATTAAGCGGAACAGTATACATAGATTCAGCTAGAACCCAAGCTTATAATAGAAAGAAGAGTAAGCCTGCTAGGCCAATTCTAGACCTCCATATGTGAGACACCGTCTACGGCCCTTGAGACAGCTAAAGTTGGGTCATCCTCCAGGTCCTGCTTTGTCCACTGGTACAGCTGCTTGCCGGGTTCACTATTAACCAAGTAACCTTCGCCAAGAGCTCCTTCCCGAAATAATTCACTTGGCTGCGCTCCCTGGCCCCAGTCAACTGCGAGTTGGTCCAGTCTCTCTTCTGTAATCTCCATGCGACCTTGCATGGTGATATTCTGCTTCGCGTCTAGGTAAACTAGTAGAAGCTTATCCGTATCAAAAGTTTCCTTATCCGCTATCAGAACTTGTGTCGTAGATATGAAATGCAACAAGGACATGGCAGCATCATTCTTGGTAATTAGAATATTCGGGTCGTCTTTCCACGTCGGATGCTCTCGCTTAACGTGATCCAGCATGCGTTTAAAGTTGGTCCGGAACTTGCCAAAAAGCTCCCAGTCCTCGACGCGGGAATACAGATCAACCGTCCCTGAAAGCTCGGGCAGGATATGGAATACTCGCAGCCAACTAGACTTTGAACCCTCAGGGCTGGAGCCCTCGAAATCAAAGAGCTGCGCGTTGTCCAAAATCGACCACTCCGCTACCTGCCAGTAATCCTCACCGAGGGTAGCCCAGCCCCGCACGCGCTCATCGTCGTCGGGGTCGTAGTACGTCCGAATAATCACAGGGATACCGTGGTTCCCACCGTCCTCCCAGAGTTTCCACGCCGTCCACCGCAATCAGTCTGGCCGCCACGGCCGAAGGATCGTTGCAATTTCTTCCTCTATTGGAATGCGCGTCTGCGGCCCCGGCTTCCAGGCATGGCATCCAAAAAACGTAGGATCAAGCTCTCTAGGAATCTCATCGAGGTCGAGAAATTCCTGGATAAGGCGAGTCCGTTGTTGGGCGGGCGGTTCAGGTGATGCGGGGTTCCACTGCCTCTAAGGAAATGGTCAACGATCTTGCATTGCGGAAACGTGGAGGCTGATGCCTTACAATCAGATATTGCTCGGCCGGGAGCTGTCCCCAGGCAGGAAAGTCATCGCAAACAGCGGGTTCCATGATTCGGTGGCGCTATTGCCAAAGAGGGAGTGAGGTGGAAGATGGAACTTGGAACTTGTGGGGCGGGTTCCAGCGCCCATCGTATGTAGCCGCCATGGCACGTGAGATTCGTTTCCTTTGCATTGGAGGATCAGCTGACATGCGAGTGGAGACAGGTCAATTTGATAAGCATGAAGAGACTAACGTAATTCCCAGGTGGTCCGGTCATCACGGGTGATCCGGTCACCCAAAACACCATACAAAATGCCATTTTTTATACTTGAATATCTCAGCCACTTGGAGACTACCAGGTATTAAACTTTGTAATTAACCTTTAAACATATATTAGGCCTATTTAGACACCCTTTTAAGTATAAATAGCGATTAATGCTGTAGATATATTAGAATATAATAAAATACAGTGTAATTTATATTACTAGAGGATTTACTTCGTTTTAGACGCTACAATGTAGTAGTATACTAATAGTATACATTCTTAATATGTATACCAAATAACATTGCCTATAGGCTCAAGGTGGTTGAGATATTCAAGTTTAAAAAATGGCATTTTGTATGGTGTTTTGGGTGATCTGGTACCCACCAAAAATTCCTCGCGCGTTCAACGCGTAATTATTCAAACAACCACCATGCCACGAAAATCGCGTCAATCACGTCAAAACTTGGTGGAGCAAGAGGGAAGAATTCAGCTTGCAATTAAAGCTCTTGAAAATCACGACATACCCAGTATTCGTCGAGCGGCACAGGTTTTTAAATGTGCCTAATTCAACACTCCAGGATCAAATGCAAGGACACTTATTTCAAGGAGAACTCCGCAACCAGAACCTCCGACTATCTCAAACTCAGGAAGAGTCTTTAATGCAATGGATTGAAGTAAGAGATAAGCGCGGAGTTGCTCCTAGGCCTTCACATGTACGGTAAATGGCCAATATAATCCTTAAGAAAGACTCGAAGACCCCCCCTCAACCTATGAGAAAGAACTGGGTCACGCAATATATTAATCGCCATGATAGCATTAAATGCCGCTTTGCTCGACGATACAAGTATAAGAGGGCTCTCTGCGAGGATCCTAGGGTCATTAAGGACTGGTTCAAACGTTTAAAAGAGGTTCAAGACGAGCACGGCATTCAGGATGAGGATATTTTCAATTTCGATGAGACGGGCTTTGCTATGGGTCTTATTGCAACTGCTAAGGTAGTTACACGTTCAAATATGCCAGGGAGGCCTCATCTTATTCAACCAGGCCAACGTGAATGGGTCACTACAATCGAATGCATCGGCGCCATGGGATTCAGTGTTCTAACTTGCATTATCTTCAAAGGAAAGGTCTATATGGAAGGTGGTTTGAAGAACTCAATTTACCACCTGATTCGAGGGTTGAAGTAAGCGCAAATGGGTGGACAACCGATGAGATAGGCCTCCGGTGGCTTACGAATTGCTTCATTCCTGCAACAACTGCGCGGACAAAGGGGTCCTTTTGATTACTAGTTCTCGACGGCCGTGGGAGTCATCTTACGCCTGAGTTCGACCAGACATGGAAGGACAATAATATTATATGTATTTGCATGCCTCCGCATTCATCTCACCTCTTGCAACCGCTAGATGTTGGTTGCTTTGGTCCTTTAAAGCGCGCCTACGGAGGCCTAGTTGAAGCAAAGATGCGCTTAGGATTCAACCATATCGACAAGCTTGACTTTTTAAAGGCCTATCCTGCTGCGCGCAAGCAAGTCTTTACGATACAGAATATTCAAAGTGGCTTTAGAGCAGCGGGAATAGTTCCTTTTGATCCTAAAGAGGTTCTTAAGGAGTTAAATACACAAATATCAACTCCAACCCCTCCTCCAAGCCGTGGGGCCTCAACGAGCTCCTCAATGATTAATACACCTCATACAGTTCGACATTTACACAAGAAGGTCTCCTCAGCCAAGAAGATGCTTGGTCATAGTGATCAGGCATCTTTAATTCCTTCTGTACGCGCCCTTGACGAACTTATAAAGGGCTGCGAACTCGCGATCTATAATTCTGCCATGTCACTAAAGGAATTACACGATCTCCGCGCGGAAACTAAGGTTTAGCAGCAGAAAAGGAAACGATCTAAGCGACAGATGTCTCCTTGTAATGGCCTTCAAGTTCAAGAGGCAAGGGATTTAATTACGTTGAGAAATGAGCAATTGAATGTGGACGAAAGGGGTCCTATGTCACAGGCCTCGCCCTGCTTATGTCCCGCTTAGGTCATCGCCACGTGACAATCCTCTGTATATAGTCGGTCCCGCTTCGCGGAACCTCCATTAGTTCTCCATGCTTCGTATTTTAGTTTAATACGACCTTGTTCATCGAGAGACGTTCCTTACACCGAGTAAGTCAATCTATTGTCAGGGCTTAGTCAACACGATCCCAAGGTTCAGGAAGGCTTGAGAGGTCAACCTTCCGTAACAGCTGGCTGGACCCGATTCCAGACGCACAGAGACCGGCTACTCATTTGAATTTTCCAGTGTCTCACTCGACTGTCAATCTGCTCGGAAATCTCCTTCCACCGGAACCTGGCCCACTCGCCAAACCGCGGACGTCAGAGACCATGAACACAGACGCTATTCCGATACTACACTCGAAGAACCAATGGTATGACTGGCACAACAAGGTCTGCCTGGAACTGCGCAAGGCGGGATATGGGCACCTACTCCGCCGCAAAAGGACCAAGAGTGTGAACGCTCCACCAAACGCTGCCGCCACCGCTCTCGCTGATAACATGGAGACTTTGGCTGAGGCCACTGAGGACTCCCAAGCCCGCCTGAGGAGGCGGACGAACTTGAAACCTGGTACCGAAAGCAGGATCAAGCTTCCGCATCGATCATTAGTCGCCTTGGACGGACCCTCCGATACCGCTACAGGAATGAAACTAGAGTGCATGTTCTTCTCGACAAGCTTGAAGAACACCTACAGCCCAACAGTAACGCCTCGATCCTTGACGCCTGGAACCGCCTCACTACGCTGTCCCAGACCTCCTCTGTTCAAGACCTGAGACAGGAACTTGACGACATCATACGCCAACTAGGTCGCGCGCAAGTCCAACTTCCGACTGAACTGGCCATTGCTGCCTTCGCCCAGGCCCTGAGGCCGGAGTTCGCACCTGCAAAGGCCGTTTATTTCAACACGAGTGCAATCAAGCACCGCACCTCAGATCCCAGCCAGTCGCCACGCTGGACAGGTCTCACGCTTGCTGCCAAGTCTGAAGAGCCTTATCATAGGCGTTTGGACGAGGACTATCTCGGTCTTCTTGCCGACAGGCCTGCACCAAGGCCCACTGGTCAGGACACAGTGCTCAAAGTACTCGCCGTACACGGAGACACGGCCAATATCCAGGTCAAATGGTGCACGCACTGCAACAAGGCCTTCCATGACAAAGAGACCTGCCACGCCCTGCACCCTGAGATGAGAGATAAATGGCTGGAGAAACGCAAGCGCCGGCGCGCAAACACTAGGGTGTTGTAAGGAACGTTTCGTTGAAAATAGAATCGTATTAAACGGAATTAAGACGCATGAGGAACTCTAAGAGGTTGCGCGTACGCGGAACCGACTATATACAAGAACCGTCACGTGGTGATGACCTAAGCAGGGCGAGGCCTGTGACACCTTATGCTATCGCCATAAGCATATTGGAATCCATCGCCCACACCATAAATGTCTGATGCGGAGGAAGCCAAGGGAAGGCTGGTCGACGCGTTGCGGTCAACACAACACCCAGTTTGCCCCTTTTTAGAGCTTCGTACATTGTTCCAGAGCTACCATAAGAATCATCGGTCATTACTTGCCGTGGGCAGCCCGACGGTGCCGGACCCTTCGATACCTCGTCCTTGATAACATACATGTCTCTGCGAGAATCTCGATTCAACCTCGGAGCATCTCCTGGCGCCCCACTGGCACGATCGGTACCTGAATGAACTAGTATATATCAGGAAAATGCGGAGCCCGCTAGTAAGTTAGTGCACCAATAGCTTACCTCTCCACTTCTAGAAAATGACATCTCCGATCGACAATCTGCGCGCAGAAAAAGGGGGTCGCCAACTCCCGCTCCTGCGATCTTCATCTCCTCTTTCCAACTTGCGCGATCGCGACTCGATCCAGCTCCCAGAAATCGGCACATAATTCTCCGAAACCATGCGGCTGCAAACGTTATTGTGGCTTCTGCCAGCCCTCGTGTCGAGCTCTTCGGCCCTTTTCACATCGATTCCGCCAGCCGCGCAGAATGGGACGCAAGGCATTGATCTCTTCGAGATCCATCTCCCCGTCATCTGGAGCGCTGCGGCTGCCAGCGGGGTAGAGTTTGTGATCGTCAAGGTGAGATTGATTATCGACCGTCGAAGATCGCTTATTGATCGACACTGCGTCCTAACTTGCCATTTCCGCCACGATCCTTCTCTAGCTGTTCACGGATCAATTGCACGTTGCTAACCAAGTCGCTCTGTCGCAGACAACCGAAGGCGCCAACTACCGCAACCTCCGCGCACTGCTCCAAACCGCACACGCCAAAAAAGCGAACCGAATCACTGGCGCCGTCCACTTCGCCAAAGCCCGCGAAAGCAGCGGAGCAGACCAGGCAAACTTCTTCCTCGCACACGGCGGAAACTGGACATCCTCCGATGGGAAAACGTTGCCCGGCGTGCTGGAAATGGAAGGCAACATTGCAGGCAAGCTCTGCCACAACATGAACGCGACGGAGATCACGGACTGGATGTGGGACTTTTCGGACACGTACAAGGCGGCTACGGGGCGGGCACCGATGTTGTTTCTCTCGGCGGACTGGTGGGAGAAGTGTGCCGGTGGCGATGAGAGTTTTGCGAAGGAGCATCCGCTTTGGCTTGCGAATTGGGCGGATGAGCCTGGGCCTTTGCCGAAGGGATGGGGCGAGGCGAAGATCTGGCAGTATGCTGGGTTGAGTAAGAATGGAGGCGAGGCGAATGTCTTCTTCGGAAGTGTAGAGCAGTTGAGGGCGTTTGCCAGGGGCACAGGGAAATAGATTTTGGACCATTGCATTGTGTATATAGAGTAGTGCGAGCATTTTCCTGGTTCGAATCAAGGCCGAGTGGGATGATGGCTACTTATGCCACGCATATTGCCATGTAGATACGGCTTCTCATCCTGTTCAGCGTCCTTGTAGTCAGCCTAGGACTCTCCGTCCTGGTCCCAATCACTTGTTATCAAATCAACATATGCCGTTGTCTCGCGAACGCGGAGTAAAAAGAGCTCGCTGACTAGTGGCGAAACCAAGCCAATACTCTGGATCCGGACCTGGGTTGACCCGGTTGGTAAGAAGGATGACATTGAAAGCCAATAGGCAGCTAACGCGGTATATGGTAGAAAGTTGTGATTCGTACTCGAGATTGTTGAAATTATGGCTGACTGCAATATCCGGCCGACTTTTGACAAAGGTGCGGATGTGAACATCCTCAAGTTTGACGCAGACCAATGGCTGATATACGACGACAAGGACACCTTCAAGCTAAAGGTCGGATCTGCTAGCAGCCAATGCCTTGGTGGTGTCATGGTCAGGCCGGTTTCCCATGATTCTTCCGCGTGCCAATTTCTCCTATGCCCTGGGAGAAGTGACCAACCGCCAGATCAGAGGCATCGCTATGGGCGCTATGGTTGACAACCTCGAGGTCACCACGATGAACCCACAATGCAAGTGGACCAACTGCTGGCAGAACTGCCCTGTAGGCTGACGTTGATCCCCCGGAGCGATGGCGGCGGGAGTTGCCATGATGGAATGCTAGATCATACGGCGTGCCCTAAAAGGACAGACCTTTTTTTTTTTTTTTTTTTTTTTTTTTGCTGCCCGCCGGACGCTCCCCTTCCCAAGTGTGGTTGGTATTACCATCGCAATGGGAACTGCAACGGGCGAGACAATTGCCCGGAAAATGTGATTGAGATTGGATCCAATCATCAGCACTGAAGCAATGACAACTACTAGGTCGCATGCTGTACATACGACACTCCGAGCATGAAGCTATACTCCCAATGCACATGGGCCGAGTCTCCCAGATGCGATCGAGGAGTGTGTCTCGACGTATCTCACCATCATGGATCGGCCCTATGCCAGGTCAGAGGCCGATTATGAACGATATGTCAAGGTGTTCATGCAGGATCCAACCCGCGGCATCGATGACTACTGGCTGAGAAAGCTCAGTGCACCGGGCAGCGAGTACGTCTATGGAAACCTTTCACTCGGTATGGAGACACTATCCTTTCTCTCGGAAGCTCGAGGCATTTCTTTAGCGCATTCTGACATTGAGTACTAGATATATACGCCGTCTCGTCGACACTCGAACGGCGGGCAAACTTGAAACCTGAGAAAACTCAAGAGGTGCTCCGAACCCTGCTTATAAGCGATGCCTCCCAGGCTCTTTACGACATTTGGAAAGAACACGTCGTGTCGACTCACCAGCACCTCACGATCGCCAAGATCAAGGCTTATATTAATGAGGGCGCCGAATGGACACGAGGAGGGCTTGTTGATCTGTCTAGGGTATGCGCCATGGATGCCTTCAACGCGCTCCTGGGAAGCACAAATCCCATTCAATGTATTTGCCGGTCGTCGAGGAGGATGAGGAAGACAGCACAGGTACGAGAGGCCCTGCGACAGTTAAAGGACACTGAAACGGCCATTGATGTGGATGGTATAGATGATATAGGTGATGTAGATTAATTAAGTTGAAATTTATGCAGACTAGTATGAGATATATCTCAGCAAACCGATGCTCTGAACACTGTCACGGATCTAGTCAATAGGCGAGTGCCTCAGATGCCAGCGGCTGTAGAGTGCCGAGCACCACAGTCACGTTGGTTCTTCATCGCTCGGTCTCACCTACATCATCAATCCAAGCGATTCTCTATGTCAGCTTTGAATACTATTACTTTTCACCCAGGCGTATTATGAGCTAGGGGTGCTTGGCACCCTTGCTTAGTCATTTAATCTTTGTGCCTGCTCGTCCCCTGACTCCCCTAACTTTCTCATACCAATAATCCAATCCTGCATAACATTGAAAGATAGTCCCCCGGCCAACCACTAGGCTCTTGCGCAGACTGAACGCCTTTCCCAGTCTCAACTGGGGGTTCGCAATATATCGCACAGCATACGACCCCCACCAGCTATTTCCTCGCGCCGTAGAGTTCATAGAATCCTCCACCAAGCAAGCAATCTCTACCGAGCAGGCCGACTACGCAATTAGTAGTGCGGACACAATCGCGTACAAAATGATCCAGTCTCGAGACCATCCCGTCATCATGGATAACCCCGCGCGCTTCACGGGCCTCTCACTCGCGGCTGTCCGATTACACTTTGAAGCCTACACTAAAGAATGCCAGGCTCGCGGAGAGCGGGATGGCATAAGTCGCCGTGCGTGCCTTGTGGTTGATGATGAGGTGCTACAGATCCTGGCCGGTGCGGTGGCTCAATCATCTGCTGAAGTGGAAGTCGCCCACGTTGTAAACCGGAGAGCGTGTTGGGTGAAGACAGTTGAGGCGTGGCCTGATCTGGATGAGACTCATGATGACTATGATGGGTCTATGAAGTGCTCGGTTTCCGCTCTGTGGAGGTTATGGCAGTGGGCGAGTGATCCAGATCCAATTGCAATTTTGATGCGGGATGAGAATGGGGTTTACATTGGTTGAGGGATGGGATCCTTGCTGCATTGTGTTTGGTGCAGACTGGGTAGGAGAGCTCGAGCGGATGCGTGGTACAAGGTATTGATTCCTGGTCTTCCCCGGTTATGGAAGGACAGAAAACCCGTGTATTTTTTTGCCCTAGATCAAATACCGAGTTGAGCTATACTTTACTTTGATCATAAGATACTGTCTGACAACTTTATGCGAGAGATTGATAATTTCGCTTAGACCTCGCCAAGAGTCTCAATGGGCGGTTCTGATTTAGCTGCTGGTGCCTGCTCGAGCTCGACTTCCTTTTCTATCCCTCCCGCTGCTCATTACGCTCATTACATCTCATCACAAAATCAACCATGCACCCACTAGTCAGCCTTGCAAGGGATGTTGAGCGGGCCAAGGTCTCCTAGGGCTTAGCGATAGATATCTATCGCACAACGTACACCCACTTTGCTGAAATTGTTGAGCGCATTACTGCGCTCGCCAAATACAGCGTACGCAAACAACCCGGCCGCTCCTTCTATTCTGAAGTTCATTTCATTAGTGGAGGACTATGCTGGGCATACACATCGTCATATAAGGGCTGCCAAGCCGGACTTTTATTCGTGAAGGACTGGGTCGGATGTTGCCGTCGGGTCGAGTCAAGAGGGAGCGGAGATGACGTTGCCTCTGCAGTTGAGTAGAAGAGAGTGAGTGACGCGGGTTTCCGACGTATACCTGTAATGTCGCTGCAAAGGTCGCCAGGAGGCCGCCAAAAATGATATCGGAGACGAATATGGCAGGTTTTGGCTGTTGGCAAGCGTGGATTCCTGGCGTATAGCTGGAATGTTTCCGACGGAACTACAGAAACGACGACAAAGGAGATCAGAATGATGCCTCTGTGATTGAGAAGCCCGACTAACAGCTGGAGAGCCCTTGGGAGTGAGGCTGAAAACAGGAGCCAAAACGAAGACCATGAGGCCGCTGCTGCTGAGAATAGGAGCGAGCGCCACGGATATCGGACCTAGAGCTAGCGTGTTTCTGACGATGGACTTGGAAAGGAGAACGCTAATAAAACATTAAGACTCCACAGCTGGAGGGTATCTGATGAAGCGCAATAGGGCCAGAATAAGGATAAAGACACCATTGATGCGGAGGAATGTAGCAAGCGCGAGGCATCCCCAAGCTTCCCTGGTGAGCATCGGCGAGGAGGCCGAGATGCGACAGCCGTAAAAATACAGTGGGCTGGCGTGAGGATATGGCCCCAATTGGCGGCTTAGTTTGACCCGACAGTTACTGCCAATGTGAAGCACGTTACGAATAATGAATAATATTATCCCATAGTCGGCCTTGAGCAGAGGATGCAGGCTGCATTCTTTCTTCCCGGAGTCATGGATAGCGTGGAATAACCGGGGTCTGTTTGAGTGAGAGGCCCTATATAGGATGGGGTGTCAGATTCGAAACGCTGGATCTTGAAGGCGGCAAATAGACAGGTCATTAGTAGGATGGCTCGACGCTTGATGACATTGAGGATCTGTTGTACATTATCTAAAGAACTATTAATCACGAATCATACATCATAGCTGTTAACCAAGAGTTTCCAGCTGTCTTTCCATACTCCTCAGGAATTGGCAGGATATCAAGGAGGCTTAGCAACGTTAGTGAGATCACTGAATAACCCCGACTAGTCCTCACCATAATACTCGGAATCCGCACCATGATCGATGAGATCGGACCATAAGCCCTCCAGATCCATACCCGGCTGATCTACTGGATTCTGAGATGAGGTAAAAGGAGCAGCGTTGCTGGGTTGGGCTGATTGCTCAGCTGCGCGTGGAATTGTGTATGCCGACGCCTCCTATGCTTCGAGCATGTCCGCTTCTGGCGCAGCGCCGCAGTCTGACCTAAGGAGGATAATTAATGGACATAAACTTCGTGGCCTGTTGAATATGGCTACATTGCACATGTTATACTCAAGTTGTATGAACCCGATTGAGGTTAATAGTGTATGGGCGTTCCAAGTCTAGCTGGCACAGTTGATACATGCAACCGAGTGGCAACGTTGGAAGCACCCATGCATGCATCTTTGGGCATGGTAAGGACAAATTAGATATATGCTCTGCTCAGAAGTGAAGTACGTCAAGGTTATCACGCAGCATGTTTCTGCCATAGATTGTGCTTGCTTTGACTTGACTACACAGGCAGCCAACCACTTCTAAACTCGATACCGAAAATGCTTGTTCTGCTTATCCGTCAAATCCTCGAAGCTCTCCATCGCTGCCTCAGCCGAGTCGGCACCATCTAACAGCCCCTCGCGCTCTTTCTGTCGGTTCTCAAAGTAGCAGTACGCTGTGTAGATAATCTGCAGACCCATGGCAGCCCCGTAAGACCCAGCCAATCCTTTGATGGCTGTCGGGTACCGCGGGACTTCGGAGGCGAGGAAGAGGTGTGGGCCTGCTATGTTGCCGGCGCAGTAGATCCTACAATGATTGTTAGTTGCATGATAGGAGGGAAGTATGAAGAACATGAAGGTAATGCATACACAAAGTACAGCCCAAGCACGGTACTCCTCTTCGTATGCCCTGCTGTATTCAGTCCAGGCAGCGTCCAATTAAGCACAACCGGGGCGCCCAAAATTCCCTGTAGCCAGCACATTCCCACAAGGGCGAACCGATGCGCATCATCATGTGGAATCGTGATCAGGCCAATCAGTCCCGCCAGGCCCGGCACACAGGCGAGCACAATCGTCGCTCCCAGCATATTCGGTACCTTGCTCAGGTACCCAAACGCGATAACCATGACGACCTGGATCCCACCCACGGGCGTCTGCAGGAGACTCGTGCGGAGAGGAGAGTACCCGAATCCCTTGATGATTGCGGCGAGAAAGTTGGCAACGCCGCCATTCAAGATGCCATAGCAGATAGCCATGAGGTAGAGGAGCCACTGGCGCGGGTCTAAGATGGCTTCTTTGATCTGGGATGGGACGATTTGCGGCTGTTTGAGGCCCGTCTGATTGTGGGATATCCGCCAGACGGCGACGACACGCTCGTACTCTGTTAGCATTTTGGCGTTGTGTGGGCCGTCGGGGAGGTAGGCATATATCACGAAGCCCCAGGCTATGGTCATGGAGCCGACAATCTGGGTGCAGGCATTGTCATCAGAAAGATGGTTCTCGTGCAGTGAAGTCATGTGTGTTCGAGGTGGGGACCATACCAGGTAGATGAGCTTCCACTGCGGAACAGCCAGGCCTTCTGCGTGTCCTGCGCCGTATGCTAGCAGGGCTCCTAGGATTGCCGCTATGCCGTTCATAGATAGCCAGTATGAGCTGCGAAGGCTTTGCTCTTCGCGCGTCCAGAGCATGGACGTTAAGATGATGAATGCGGGTGAGACGACGGCTTCGAGGAGACCGAGGAAGAAGCGGATGGCGAAGAAGCCGGCAAAGTTAAAGACGGCGGCCTGATATGTTTAGTTGAACAAAGGCTTTTCGCTTTACTGGGCGCAGAAGGGAGTGTGCTCACCTGTAGCATACAAACAGCCCCCCAGACAAAGAGCATGATTCCAATCAATCTTCCAACAGGGAAGCGTTGCAGCAGGAGCTGCCACGGGTATGCCCCAACAAGCCAGCCAATATAGAGGGCGGATGAGACCCAGGAATAATCATCCCCGGTCATATTCGTGTCTTCCTGTAGGCCGTATGCGTTGGAATAGTTCAGCCTGGATATCGTTAGGAAACGTGGTAATATATCGGACCGGGTGCCTCACGTCTGCTTATCGAGGAAGCTCAACATGTATGTCATCATCATCTATTAGCAGTATTAATACCAAAGGAAATCCTGCGCAGTACATCATAATAAGGACTTCTCGTACCATCGGCAAAACATAAATGTCCAACTTCCTGCAAACCTTGACCGCGTCTCTCTCCAGCTGCGCCGGATCATACTGCAACGACTGCTGGAAATAATCCTTGCCGACCTCGTTGAGGTTCTGATTCCGACCACCGAGACGATGGAGCCAGCCAACAGACTTGGAGCTCCCCACGCCATGCTCAGACGCCGTTGTAATGGCCTCGTCGGCTTCTTTGGGAGCGGGCATGCTAGTCTCTTTGGAGATGGACATAGTAGCGAAGTGCAGCGGAGTTTTTGTGCAACAAACCAACACAGTATGCTCGTGTGAGGCCCGTGGCTTTATATCTCCTACTCTTGCGGCAGTTCTTACCTCACGCCCAGACTCCCCCTCGTTGTCGATTGGGGTAGCTCAGGCAGTTGGTTATCGGCCCCGATCGCCGAAGGATTCGATACTGTATCTTTCACTAGCGCTGTTATTTACCACTGATAGCGTCCCCGATAGCTTATTTTGATAGCGCTGATAGCATGTTCAATAGACTCCACAGGGTCAACCAAGAAGATGCGCGAGAGCTTCGGTCATGCTCCGGAATTCGTCAGCTCTCTTGTATAAAGCGAGTCAGGGGAGATCTGTCCTCGGCTGGCTTACTAGAAGGCCATAACCACAGTTCAACATCAGAATGAGCACCGTCACCATCACTACCACCGAAACCGTCGTCCCAGAGGCCCAGTTTCCTCCACCAGTCAGAACATGGGAAGCCATTCGCGATGAAAAGCGAGCCGAGCAGCTCTCGCGAATCCCTCCGTCGTGGAGGCTGCAGCCCTCGCAGTTCCCTGGCAGAGATGTAGCGGATGTCCGCCCGATGGCAGCAATCAGCGGAATCCTCACCGAGCGCGAGCTCGAAATCACGGGTGAAAAGTACGACGCTACCTCCCTTGCCGCGGAGATTGCCCAGGGCACATACACGGCTGTTGAGACAGTCACTGCATTCTGCAAGAAGGCGGCCATCTGTCAGCAGCTGTGCAACGCGCTAACGGAGATCTTCTTTGCGGATGCGATTGAGAAGGCGAAAAAGCTTGACGAGCATTTTGCGAAAACTGGAAAGACTGTGGGGCCGCTGCATGGACTGCCGATGACATTCAAGGAGTGCTTTCATGTCAACGGCTATGATGCGTCGAATGGGTACATCTCCAGATGCTTTGAGCCTTCAACGACTACGACCCCGGTTATACAGCTGGTTGAGCACGCTGGGGCGGTGGTCATTGCAAAGACGAATGTCCCGCAGACGATGCTCGTTGCAGAGTGCGAGAATAACGTCTTTGGCCGGACACGAAACCCAGTGGTCAGTCACTTGTCCTGCGGTGGCAGCAGTGGCGGCGAGGGTGCGCTGTCGGCATTCAGGGGCAATGCATTGGGGATAGGGACGGATGTGGGAGGCTCTATCCGGTGCGTATTTGAACACTCCCGATTCAAGGGCGCTGATGTATAACCGTGTCAGTCTCCCCGCTGCCTTCAACGGCGTCTACGGCTACAAGCCCTCTGTTGGAATCCTCCCGTTCATCGGGTACGCGGCCTCGGGCTGGACAGGAGTCAACACGGGCATCCCCGCCGTCTTGGGCCCCATAGCGCACTCCATCCGCGACATGAGACTCCTCACCGAGACCGTCCGCGCCGCGCAACCCTGGCTGTTCGACCCGGCCGTAATACCCGGAATAATGGAACAGCCCACACCCCCATCCCACCGCAAACCCATCATCGGCATCCTCACACAATCCGGGGTCACCCCGCACCCACCCGTCCTCCGCGCGATCCAGACAGCAAAATCCAAACTCGAATCCGCCGGCTACGAAACTCGCGACTTCACCCCAAGCTGTCCATCCTTTAGCAGAATCCGCGAAATCTCCGCCCAGCTATTCACAGTCGACGGCGCATCGTATGCGCGCCGCGAGCTGGCCAAAGCAGGCGAGCCCGTCGTACCCTCTGTGACGAAATTCGGGTTCTGGGATATGCCACGCAAGACGCACGAGGAGATGTGGGCGTGGAATACGGAAAAGGGCGCGATGCAGAAGGCCATGCTAGATGCGTGGCAGGCGCTCGGGATTGACGTGCTTGTTTGTCCGGCGGCGCCGCATGCGGCGATTAGTCCCGAGGAGACGACCAAGGAGTTGTATACCGTTGTTTGGAATGCGGTTGATGTGAGTTGTTTAATATACGCCCCGTACTCGGAGGTAGTGAAGCTAATGAGAATGGCAGTATCCCGCGGTTATTATGCCATTTACCAAGGTGGATCCGGTATTCGACACCAAGAACAATGCATTCGAGCCAAAGGATGATTTGGATAAGAGCATCCAGGCACTATGTACGTTGTCTATTCAAAGCAAAACGCTATTGATTGTCCTGACTAATTGGTACCGGTAGACGACCCAGGCCTCATGGCCGGCGCCCCAGTCTCACTGCAACTCGTTGCCCCGAGACTCCAAGACGCGGCATTGCTCAGATACGCCGAGGAACTGGATGGAGTGCTCAACAGTGAGAACTGAACTAGTGCTTCCCCGATAACATTGTAGATAGCACGAGTTCGCTCGACCACATTGGAGTCCCCTAGATAGCATAGACTTTGCCGATAGATAGCAGCCGGTAGCTGAATACTAGCCTAGGACTCTGCAGACCATCTCCAACTGTTATGCACCACAAGCATGGGTATCAAACACTGTACAAGCCTGTTTCCCTGCATCTCTTATCTATGCTATCTTAGCGTGCGGAGTATGCAACCCCCACACGGCCTCATATCTCCGAGGTTGGGGTCATCGGCTACACTCTGCGCGAGACGCGAAGCGACAAATGGTACAGAGACGGAGGAAAAGAGGTACCTTGTAGCTTTCTCTTCACAATTCTCTGGCTGCATGAAACCTCCTGTTCTTTGACTACGATTCCACACAGACACTCCTCCCAGCAATGCCCGATACGCTCTCGAAACCCAAATACGAAGTCTGCCTCGTTGGCTCCGGTGGCGTCGGCACAATCGCCTCGCTTGTGCTCACAAAGTCGGCCCTCGCGCGCGTGACTGTCGTGCTGCGATCGAAATACAACTACGTCTCGGAACACGGGTGGGAGATCGATTCGGTCGACCACGGCAAGATTTCTCGGTGGAAGCCGTACCGCGTCGTTCGGTCGGCTGTGGAGGCCGCGACAGTCGAACGGACTACAAATGCGGAGAATAAAGATGTTCGTGATCATGCGGGGCAGGTAAAGGAGGTGGAATACGACTACGTCGTCGTCGCGACAAAGGCGCTACCGTCGCTCAACCCAGTCGCCAAAATGATTTCGCCTGTCATAACGCCGGGAAAAACGACTGTCGTCGTAATCCAGAACGGAATCGGCATCGAGCAAGACATCGTCAAGGCATACCCAGGAAACGTCGTGATGAGCAGCGTAAGCCACATTGGCAGTGAAGTCCAGGAACCAAACGTCGTCGTCCAGGTGGGGAAGGATGCATCGAAGATAGGACCGCATTTACACGGCGGCGTCGATGACTCCATATCCATGGCAAAGGCAAGGAGCTTCGTTGAGATGTATGTCGCGGGCGGCGCACATACCTGCGAGCTTGTCTCGGACATCCAAACTGCGCGCTGGGAGAAACTCCTCTGGAACGGCACGTTCAATACCGTGTGCGCGCTGATGCGCATGGACGTCGGCGAGATGCAGCGGAGCAAAGGGCGCGAGACGCTGCTTGTCCCGATGATGTGGGAGATTTGGAGGATTGCCGAGGCGGCCGGGCATGCGATGCCGCAGAGTATTGTGCAGTGGATGGCATATCGGCTACCGGATGATTGCGCGTATCGGCCCAGTATGTTGCTGGATTTGGAGAATGGGCGGCCCATGGAGGTGGATGTTATTCTGGGAAATGCGCTGGCCAAGGCGAGGGAGGTGGGTGTCGAGACGCCGGTTTTGAGTGTTGTATATAATCTTTTGGTGCTCGAGGAGTGGAAGATTGGGCAGAGGACAGCAGGCGAGACATAGCTGGTCCTTGATATGGTATCATGGGTATCATTATGTAGAACTAGATGAATTACAGTGGTATAGGAGCGCATCGCGCAAAATGCATCCAATCCCAACGTTCTCCTGCATCTCTCGCCGGCCAGATGGTATCCACAACGAATGATCTTGTCCGCCGCGCGGTTACAATAGGCCTCGCATAGCAGATGTCGTCGAATAACCGAGTTGCATGATCGCGATCCTCGCTGCTCTCGAGCTCGCATGCGGCAATGAATAGAGGCCACAGCGAGAGCTTGATGTCCTGTGGTGGGCCGGAAATATGGACCATGGCCTCGTACGCCATGCTGAGCGCTTCGGCATCTGCCTCTGTCGAGCTACCGGGGCGGTTGAAGAGCCGGAAGAGGTAGAGAAGCGCCGCTGCGCGCCATGTGTATGCGTGGGGAAGGAATGTTCGAGACATGGCCATTGACATGGTCAGATCACGGATTGGACGCCATGAGACCAGTTGAGCGCGTATAGATGCTTCTCTCTCGACGAGGTCGCTGCGTCTCACTGCGAGATGATTGGTTTCAACAGTAGTACTGGCGGTTATGAACTGACCATTCATTGTGTGTTGAACATCTTCAGCAAGTGCAGCGAGTTGCGACAACAATGGAGCCAAGGTAGTTGTCAACCCCATCACCCGGTCAGCATGGCACAGCGAGTACTCATCCAGCCAGGCGCACGGGTTGATCCTGGTGCGTTGCATTCTAGTAAGTGAGATGAGGAGATCCTGCCGGGCAACGCCTCGAGCGAAATACTTGGCCATGGAACTCAATGTCTTTCCCTGTCGGGTGTGGAATTCCAGGACCATGGAGACATTGTCAATGAGTGCTGAGAGGGTGGTAGCGCCGCCGTCAGACCGAGGGTCCACGAGCTGTCATTCATCAGTTAGCTGCGACCCCATAACTAGATATAATCTGGAGATGGTAGGATACCTCAACACCACAAAGAGCAAGAAGCAGCATGAGAACAAATTCTAGACTACTTTCTTCCTCATTAATCAACCTCAGCCGACTCAGCAGACGCGTCTTGCGATTGGACACCATGGCTGAATCTGATGAATCCTCAACATAGTTTTCTCCAATCGCGGCGAGAGCATCCCCGACAGCCGTTGGACTCTGCTGCAGGAGCGCAATGGCTGCACCGTTCATCTCGCTGATGAAGAAGTCGTTGCGAATGATCATTTCCGAGGGGTGTCGCATAAAGTATACCTCGATGAGCGGCTTATCCGCTGCAAGAATCTCACTCAACGGAATTAGGGCCGGTCCACGAGCAGGGGTAAGCGTCTTTGTGGATGCCTCGAGGATAATGGACCGCATGCAATCGCTTGTCGAACTCGTCGCCTCACTAAACCACGTGTCTCCCAACGATGCCCGGGAAGAATTCATTGAAACACTAGATGCAACAGACGCCCGGCGATTCACTCCAACAGAGCCAGAGCTAGAACGCGAAGAAACATTCGGGTTCGAAGTCCTCGCGTACCCGGAACACACGCGCCGCCTCCGAGTACAGGTCCCACAGTGTGGATGCACCTCATCACACTTGACCTTGGCCTGCTTGCAATCGATGCAACCTTTGCGTGATCGGGTGGCCATGACGGTTGATCCTAGTAGTGACAGGTCACTGTCAGACGCTTAAGCGGAGTCGCAGTCGAAGAAGGTGGAACGATGGATGCTATCGCCCTGCGTCGCTGGTCTTATCGGTGGGGCGGCGGTGCCAACTCCAACTCGGGCTTCCCCGCTTTATGCTATCGATCAGATAGGCTTTGGTCTCCGTGGGGGCTGTATTGTATCGTAATCCAGAGGCCAAGGCGAGCATGTGACTGGTCACTGGTGACGGTCCGTGGGTACTCCGTATACCCCCGTGACATGGAATGGAGATTAAATAGCCCTTAGGGAATTTCGCTCGATTGGTCGGGTTAGATTACATTCGCAGAAACAATGGAACCCGCAACGCTGCGCAGGCATACCCAACGTGGAAGCTATGATATCAAGTCAGCAAAGGCTGTCTTCGACGATTGCTACATGGCTCATGTCGCGTACATCGATAATGGTCTCCCACAATGCCTGCCTATGATTGCTTTGGTCACGGAGGAAGAGGAAGAACATGAGGGAGCCAATGGCTGTACGGACACTGCGTACTCAGGAGAATGCTTGAACGGAGGCGATAAGACGAACAAGATGGTCGTATATCTGCATGGACATCCTAGTATGAGACTAGCAGAGTTGACATGCGAGGGCAGCCGAGGGAGTGACCCGCCCAGAGTCTGCATCACAGCGACCAAGAGTAAGTGATGATATGCCTATCGCTGTGTTGAGTGCGCTCTAATGTTGACGTTTCCAGTTGACGGCCTCGTTCTTTCCTCGGCTCCCAACGGCCACACATTCAACTACCGCAGCGCCGTAATACACGGAACATGCACTCCCATTACCAACGAACCCGTGAAGCGCAACGTTATGCGCGCAGTCACAAATCACATCGTCGCCCATCGATGGGAGGAAGTCAACCCCGTCGCTTCATTCCAGGTCGGCCTGGTGTCTGTGATTAAAGTAAGCATCGACAAACTGTCAGTCAAAACCCGCACAGGTCCGCCGGGAATCCAGCCTCGAAATAGGGAGGTCGACGGACCGGATATTGAAACGCCGCCATGGGTGGGCGTTATCCCGCTCTGGGAGCAGTTGGGAACGCCGGTTGATAGTGGGTTGAGCCCTGGTGCGGTGATTTCGGAGAATTTAGACAAGTACATTGATGGAAGAAACGCGACGCAACGAGAGTATGCGCAACGGATGGCAAGATGATTTGTATGAGTCCAATGAGGGGCGTTTATGATGCTCAGATCAAAATAATATCTCCATAGACCACAGAAGGCTAAGCAGATCGGTTTGCTTGTCCTAGATAGCTTCCAGCATCTTCATTGCCTTCTTCTCCTCAGCATCCAGATAGACCAATGCATCGTCTTCAGATTCATAGCCGTTTCGGCAGTTCATCTTACGCAGTCCCAGTTTCGCCTTGAGCCGAGAGACGATGCCGCGAGTCTCAAAGGAGCGATGGTTTCCGAGACCGCGTTGGCGAAGATTGAAGTTGTCGGAGACACTTTAATTGCCCATTAATCTCCAAGCCTCGATGACGTGCAGTCCCCTCGGCGATTATCGTGTTATCGCAGGTTGCCAGATCAGATGGGGAGAGAAGATCCGAAGTTTCTGAGCTCTGGGTGGCTGAAATGTGCTGCACCTGCCATTGTAGTAAACTGGTTAGTTCACTACCCCTACATTAGCTTGTCACGTGTTTCCCTTGACACAAGGGATGATCTCGCTGGCACACCAGGGCCACTGCTCAATCTTCCTCTACAACACTGGCATTATCATCTCCCGCTTTGCGCAACAATCAAATATACCCAGGATTGGTCTTGTTCTTCTCGAAATTGGTGTTTGCGTGATCGTTGGCGACCTACTTTTCCAGGTGCCTGGCAAGATCAGGCATTACTTCCATCTCGTGGAAATGCGCCGATCCCCATCCGCGCGTCCTTGGGGCCACACTCAGAGTATCATACCAAGCCCGAAACAACACTGCCGCTCAATCTTCAAAGCTTCACCTTTGTCCTACCATCACTGCCCCGAGAGCATGGACAAGAACGCGTCTCAGACAGGTAAGCACGCCAATTGGAACGCGATTTGGCGCATTACTCATTCGTGTCAGACTGGAATTCTAACGATGAATTCTTCAAATTCACGCGTGGCCGCTTTATTGTTGATGAGGCAGAGAATCTTCAAAAGCGAGAGGTCAGATTCGATATGAATAGCCTCGCAAGAGTCGCAGCAGACTCGGTCGGAGCTGCACGATGCATTGCCATCAAGAATTACCCTGACGGCATGTTTAACAAAGCATTCCTCATGTCTATGGACGATGGGCAAGAAGTAATAGCCAAGATTCCTAATCCAAATGCTGGCGTTTTCCACACTTTACTACTGCTAGTGAAGTCGCTACGATGGACCTTGTAAGCTTATCCTGAGCTCCATCAACACCGAGTCTTGCTAACGCATCTGATTTGGGAGGCTAGAAAATTTCTTGACACACCAGCGCCTCGTGTATACCGTGGAACTCGCAAGCCAAATCACATCTTGTTGGGGCAGAATTTATCATCATGGAGAAAATGGAAGGTGTTCCACTATCCCAAGTTTGGAGCACGTTGAATCCAATACAGAAGCTCCAAGTGCTTCTTGCCATGACACGTCTTCAACAGCAATGGCGGAGCGTTTCATTCTCGCATTACGGCAGCTTGTATTACAGGGAAGACATGCAGCCACCGGCAGGCATCCACTTTGTCAGGGATGGCAAGGCTGTAAGAGATTTGGATTTTGCCATTAGCCCTGCTACGGGCCGGGATTGGTGTGATGCAGGCCGATCAAATTTACACGTTGGGAAGGGGCCATGTACGTCGTGGCTCTTGCATTATTTTACAGTCGCTGACAAGTTACAGGGGCTTCTCTTACGCAGTACCTGCAAGCAATCGGGACGCGAGAGGTGAAGGCAATCCAGTCTCTAGAACCTCCGAAACCAATTGCCTTGTTCTGCGGCCCAAGGCCATACCAACCAGACACGGAAAAGAAGCTTACGGCTTTAGCGTGGTATCTCCAGATCGTGGATGCCCTATCCCAAAAGATATAGCCATCACCAGACCCTGCCTCTGGCATAATGATTTGCATGATGACAACGTCTTTATAGACCCCGCATAGTCCTGAAAAAATTACGGGTATCATTGACTGGCAGTCTTGTTTCACATCTCACCTCTCTTCAACCATAACCCCGATCTAGCCTTCCTTGATTGGTGGGCTTGAGCCTGAAACGCTTGATCTGTACCAAGGCCAAACTCTCCGGGCTTTCACCTGAAGAACGGTCCATTGCTATGCCATGAGTATACCGTCCAAAATGTGTTTATTGGATGGCGGAAACTCATGCATGCTAAAAACTCAGACCTATATAAAGCAGTCGAATTCCGAAGGACGGCAGCGTACGGGCTGATACTTCTTGCCCACCGAATGTTTGAATGCGGCGAGGCGCACTTTCAATCGCTTCTGGTGGATCTGAAAGATACGTGGACAGACTTACCTGCTGTTACCAGCAACACCCAATTCCCGTTCAACTTTACGGAAGCAGATATCGAGCGTATCAAAATAGATAACAATGGTGCAGTGGCCGGAACTGAGCTTGTTACAGAGGTCAAGGAGAAAATGGGTGATTTATGGCCGGACAAAGGCTTCATCGAGTACGAGCGATATGATGAGTGCGAAGCTGCTCTCCACGAAGTCAGAGACTTGATATTGGAGCAGTTGGCCGAGACTGACGAGGAAAAGGCAGAGTACGAGCGCTATGGGCCATTTGAATAATTCTCTACTGTACGGAGGAAATGGCATGATTGTGAGGAAGGACCTTCCAATAGGAAATACCAAGCGTTTCCATCTCCACAACACATCACTCAAAAGCCTCCGCCAGCCTCTGACACAAAAGACTAACCGCATCCCTCCCTTTCCTCAAGACCGCATCCATCACCAGAAACGGGTGCGGTACCCCCTCGACAACCACAACCTCCGCTTGCACCCCAGCGCCATCTAACCTCCGCGCATACTCCTCCCCCTCCCACCTCAACACATCAAGCCCCGCAACAACAATCAACGCCCTCGGCAGGTAATCAAACATCTCGTCGCTCGCTAGCAGCGGCGATGCCAGCGGGTCTGCCCAGTCGGCCTTTCGGGGGAGATAGTGGCGCCGGTACCATAGCATTTTCTCCGCAGGGAGCGCGGGCGTATGTTCGTAGGCGGCGTATGTGGCGTTGTTCGTGACGCTCGCCGTGTTGTCCGTTACGGGGACGACTAGAATCTGGTACGTGAATCCAATACCTTTTGAGAGAAAGGCGCCGTGTCCGCGGGCCTTGTGCGTCATCACAGCCGCGAGGTTCCCGCCGGCGCTGGAGCCGCCGATGGCCAGTCTCTTCAGGTCCAGGCCACCGAGATCCGGGCGCAGGTGCTTTGCCGCAGCCCCCGAAACCACCCACAGCACCGTCTCCCAGGCATCGTGGACGGCCGCCGGAAACGGATTCTCGGGGGCGAGGCGGTAGTCGGTGGTGATGACGATGCAGGACGCGCGCGCGCACAGGTTTGTGCACAGGCTGTTTTCCGAATCGATGTTGCCGAGGACCCAGCCGCCGCCGTGGTACCAGAGGAAGACGGGCCACCCCTCTGGAGCGGTTGGGGAGCCCGGTGGGATGAATACGCGGACGGGGACGGGTGGGCCGGTGGATTCGAGACGGGGGATCTGGACGTCGATGGTTTTCCCAACGGGGAGGGGGTCGGTTCCACCCTGGAAATGTTAATAGTACACGGGAGTTAGCTGGGCGAATCCTATTTAGATCTAGACGGTATGTATATATACACTTTTGAACGACTGGCTGGTTGGAGGGGAGGAAGAGGCTTACGGGGATCAGCTTGCCGCCGACTCGCGACGCAGCGACGGGCTGGTAGTGTACCTGAGGCGCGTGTAGTAAGTACTGGTTGTAGAAGCTGGCATATTCGGGATCGAGCAGGTCTTTGATGGACTCGTGCAGGGGGTAGGGTGGCTGGGCGGCCATGTTTGTTATTTGATTGCTGCTAATATTTACCGAGTGCAATGGGGCGTTATTGGATGCTTATTATGGGAAACAAGGGCAGTCATCAGGGTATCCCACACACAAGGTGGGATGTGCGGGATACAGCGTTGTGCCCGCATAAGATGCCCGCGTAAGGCTGGGGTCGGCGGGGAAGCGATGATAAGTACGTCCCCCTCACTCACTCTTATTGTCGACTCACGAGACAAGCAAATTTCCGACATTGCTGATTCTCTATTTTGTATTTTCAACAAAAATGACCGGCCTAGAATCCATCAATGGCGGCAGCGCCTGGTACAAATGCAACCCACCCATGATCCTCGGCGAAGCCCCCATCTACCGAGCCCGCGACTCAACCCTCCACTGGGTCGACTGCCTCGCCAGCCCCCCAACACTACATATCCTCCGCGTCGACCCCGAGACCGGGAACGCCGTTGGCGACGCGCGCGTTCTCCAACTCGCAGACAGCGTAACAGTGCACTTCTTCCGGCGAAATAACCCGGGGAGCTACATCTGCGCATACTACCAGGGAATCGCGTTCCTCGACGAGGAGACGGGTCGGCTCGACGTCGTGCACGAGATCATCCCTACGGCAGACCGCGACAAGCGGCGGTTCAACGACGGCGGCGTCGATGCGCGGGGCCGCTTCTGGCTTGCCGAGATTGATCTCAAGGCGATGGGGTATGGGCCGAATGGGCTTCCGGCGGATTATGGGAGGCCGATTGGGCGGTTATGGAGGTTTGACCCTGATGGGAGCTTGCATGAGATGGATGGGGGATTTGTCTGTGGGAATGGGTTGGCGTGGAGTCCGGATAACTCGACCAGCAAGTAACTCGTCGCCTTTTCTGAAGGTTTTGGTTGTTGTATCAGGATAAGCTGACTTGTGGGGAACAGTGTATGTGAATGACTCTGTGGCCATGAAGGTCTTCAGCTACGACTTTGACGTCGAGACGGGCGCAATCACAAATAAGAAGTTGTTTATTGATCGGCGGGACAGTTTCGGCGAGCCGGATGGTATGGTCGTCGAGTGAGTCGTTTCTTCCTCTCATCGGTCCGTATTATGATCTCAGCGATAAGTCGCTAACAACGGCGCCCCCAGCACCGATGGCAATCTCTGGATCGCAGTGTTCGATTCCAACCGCGTCATGGTGTTTTCACCGCAGGGCCGGCACTTGAAGGACATTATCTTCTCAGCAAGGAATATGGCTTGCACAACTTGGGGAGGGAGGAATTCGGATATTCTTTATATTGCTACGGGAAAAGATAGGAAACCCACGGCCAAGGCTGAGGATGAGGGCGGACACATGTTCAAGTACCACGCAGTTGGGACTCGGGGGGTGGCCAAGTATGAGTTTGCCGGTTGAGTTGGCAGCTGAGGATGAAGTAAGGGGCTAGCAATAGTATACACGGCTGAGGACGAATGTGTCCGCAGATGATGAATTGATCTAGAGTAAAGCGTCTAGACTACCTAGGACAGTCATTGGACCCGAATCATCCCCCATCCTCGGTAGTCGGCCTCGATCCCATCGACAAGAGGATGCTTGTCTGCTCTGACAAGCGACCCAGCGTCTCTTTAGCCTCCTCCAGCAACGCCCATCTGCACCCCTCCAGCGCATCTCTCACAGCAGCAACCAACCCCGTCGTCTTATTGGCACCTTTGAGCTGGTCAAGATCACCACTGGAACCGTCTCCCATAAGGCCATTCAACATTTGCGCCAGATACTCCTCAGCCGTCCACTGGCCCTGTCTTTGTTCCTGGTCTCCAGCAAGTACAGGCCTCTCATTTCCATTCCTATTCTCACTAGGATATCTAATGCCGTCCGCCCCCTCCCGGATAGCCCCATAGGCCCACAGAACCAGCGTCGTGTTGTACAGCACCCATGGCCTGAGGATGATACTATCCTCGGCTGCCGCATACCTCGTGCGCGTGAACATGGTTTCCTGGATGAGAAGTAAGCAGTGACTTAATGCCCTCTTTGCATTGCGGTGGTGCGCCCACGCACTGATGCGCTTGTACGCGCGCGCAAACTGTGCGCTGTCTCTTCCCCGGGCTGCGCAGGGGCCTGAAGACGTTGCGAGGTGCGGCGCCCCGGCTAGTGTGTGAAAGTCAACTAGCGAGACGTGGATGCTGACATGTGCGATCCGCTGGAGCGGGCGGGCGGCCTCGAGACAGAGCGATGGTGCTCGGGAGAGGAGGCTAAAGGACCAGGTGTCGATTGCGCGGTCGAGGCGGTCTTTCCAGCTGTCTTGCTCTGGTGTGACTGACCCCGACCCCCCCGCCTCAGTCTCTGATGTCGTCTGATGGTCAGAGAGATACGACGCCGTCTGGTCCCGCGTAATCATATGGCGCGTCAAGCACAGCAGCCCATGCAGCAGCACGAAACGCGCAAAGGGGCTATAGGTGTGCGGCACCGGTTGTCTTGAAAGGAGCGCACGGAGGGCCGGGAGGAAAGACGGAGTTGGGCCAGGCGCTATTCTTGCTCGTTCTCGATTCCAGATGCTTGCCGTGGGTGCCTCCCAGAGGGCATCGGCGCAGGGCAGCGGGAGGTGGATGTCGGTGAGAGACAGGGCGGCCGAGTGGCCGAAGATGGACGAGTGCTGAGCGTCCATGACAAAGGCAAAGTATGCGGCCCGGTGTGAGAGCTCGCGCTCGACCCAGCGGTGCCAGCCTTTTGAGATGGAGGGTGTATCGCTGTCGTCAGAGTGGTCTGCGTGTGGCGAGTAACTGCTTCCGCGTCTCATGAGCTAGAATAGTTAGTCCTCTCCAGTATGAACAAAAGACCACACCTTGGACCTACTGTAATGACTGAGTAATGGAAAATGTGCGAGATCTCGTGCAGTTTGCGAGTCGAGAACATCTTCTCGTAGGACTGGACGACCAACAACGCCTGCACCACCCACAGAGGGGCCGGCGCTTGGAAATCTGGTGACTGTCGTCATCTGTCAGGTATATTATAAGACTCTGTTGCTGCATTATGCTACTCACAGTAAAGATCAGCCACCGTAGGCTCTCATGGATCTTCTCGGCAATCTGATAATGGTTTCTGTCGGGCGAGAGGGTCGCACCCAGAGTCAAGAGTGCAACGAGGAGTAGAGGTGGCGCATCCTGCACGAAAAACGTCGGTCGGTGCAGCAGCGAGAAATGCGGATTGTAGTTTTCCCAGTAGCTTTGCATGAACCATTCCAGGTTGGCCGCGTCGAAGAAGGATGAGGACAGAAGATCGGCGGGCAGCGTCACTAGGGCTGCGAGCACCTTCTGTCGCGGTACGAGGTGGGTAACATTTTCGACAGCAACGGAGACGGAGCCCTGGGAAGAAGTCCCAGACAGAGGCGACCATACCGGCAGTTGCTCGGTAGTTGGATTCAGGATGTTGTTGAACCTATCAAGGCTTGCAGACGCATCATCCCAGCAATCAACGCCAACGCCAAACAGCCAGTCCAGATCCTGGGTCAGGCTGGTGGCATCGTTCGACCCGTCGAAGAAGGTGAGATATCCCACACCTGATGTCTCGTTCGGCCTGGACTCGCTAATCATGGACTGCAAGGCATCTATGCTGGTCTGCCCAACCGTGGCAGCAAGTGGCTGTGGCGTCTCGAGCTGATCATCTCGCGGAGTAGGGGTGTCAACGGTGTCTCCAGGAGTTTCCGATTGCCCACGCAGCTCCACCCCCGCAGCTGGTACGAGAGGACTAATGCATGTGCCATGTCGGTTGCTGCCGACTGGCCTGCCACTTGTTGTGTACCCACCGGAATTCCGGTAGCTCATGCCACGGTCATGTCGGCGAATGTGCCGCTGGAGAAGGTCCAGGCGCACAAAGTCTTTCTGGCACACATGGCATTGGTGGATCTTGCGTGGTTGATCTGCTCCCATATTATCCTGTTAGTTAGCTCAGGCACCTCTCGAATCAGATCACTGCGATTCGAGACTCACGGTTGAGCCGATGTCTACTGAGGTGTTCTCGTCGTTTGAACCGCCGAGAGCAGCCTGTTTCTGGACAGGCATAGGACATCTTGCCCGCGCAGAAAAGGGCACAAGATGCGTAATCTGGTGAGTTGACACCTTGAAGTTTCTTGCGTGGGCAATAAAAGTACGGGTGAGGGGTGTCGTCTGAGGAGGATTTGGAGTAACTCACAAGATGCCCGCGCAACCAGTTTAGACCAATCAGTCAAGCCCATTCCTTCCTTTATCAACTTGGAGAGTGGGGGCGACCAATTCCTCGGGTATCTGGGGCAATATAATGCTGAGTCCATGATAAGAACATCCCCCATATATTGTAAAGGGTATCATCAGCTCCTCGAAACTCGCAACTCTGAGCCAAACGTCAGCCATCCATGATGGACCGGTTCAAGCGCGCATTCAGTTCCCCTCGTGCCTTCCATCAGGCAATCCGCCTTAAGAGCTCATCTTCTTTTCTTGTAAACGAAGATCTGCTCCCTTCCCCTGCGGACCGGCAGACCTGGAATGCCTGGAGCTTCTTCGCCTACTGGTGGAGTGAATCATGGAATGTCTCTACCTGGAGCATCGGCTCGTCGCTCATCTCTGCCGGCGCCTCCGTGCGCGATGCTCTCCTCCTCGTCTTCTTTGCCAACCTGCTCTCGGCCACCGTCATGGTTCTCAACGGCTTTGCTTCCTCCCGGTACCATATTGGCTACCCGGTTCTGTCTCGCGTCAGCTTTGGCATCTACGGACACTACTTTGTCGTTGTGCTCCGATCAGTCCTGGGGATCATCTGGGGCGGCGTGCAAATGTACTTTGAAGGCCAGTTCATCAGCATCTGCCTCCGCTGCATCTTCCCCAGCTGGTCGAGCCTTCCGAACAACATCCCCGCAAGCCAACACATCACCACGCAGATCATGATCGGCTTCTTCCTTGCCTTTCTCTTTACCATTCCCTTTGTCTTTGTCCATACGTCGCGCATCCAGCACCTGTTCACCGTCAAGTCGGCAGTCCTTCCCCTGGCCGGTTTGGGGATCGTCATCTGGGCGACCAAGGCCAACGGCGGCGTTGGCTCCTCCTCGCTCGATGCCCAGGCCGAGTCGGCCAAGTCTTCCACCAAGGTCTTTGCATGGGCCATTGTCTCGCAGTTCAACGCCGTCATGGGCTCCAACTCGGCTCTGCTCGTCACCATCCCGGACATTGCGCGATACTCCAAGACGCGCAACGCCCAGACTTGGGGCCAGTTGATTGCGCTGCCCCTTGGCCAGACCTTGTGCGCCTCCTTTGGAGTTATCAGCACGGTATTGAGTCACTCTCTTCTCCTTGGAGTATTGAACTGACAGCTGCAGTCCGCAGTGCTCAGCTTATACGGGGAAGCCTTCTGGAACCCTTATGACCTGCTAAACGGCATCCTCGACCGCGGCTACACCTCGTCTGCACGCGCGGGCGTCTTTTTCGCCGCCGCAAGCTTCGCTTTTGCCACGCTCGGCACCTCCATCGCCTGCAACTTCATCCCCTTTGCAGCGGACGTCACCTGTCTGCTCCCCGCCTACCTCAACATCGTCCGCGGCCAGTTCCTCTGCCTGCTCCTCGCCTTTGCCATTGTCCCCTGGCGCATCGTCACCTCTGCCAGCGGCTTCCTCAACTTCCTCAACGGCTACGCCATCTTCCAGGGCCCTGTTGTGGCCATCATGCTCGTGGACTATTTCCTCTTGCGGAGTGGGAACTTGACGCTCGCGGATATGTACACGGCCTCCAGCGAGGGGCTGTATTATTACGTGCGTGGTGCGAATATCCGTGCGTTTGTGGCGTTTGTCGTTGGCTTCCTGCTTCCGCTCCCGGGGTTCGTGGAGAGTTTCAATGAGACGGGTTCTTCTTCCCTCAATGAGGCTGCATCGAATATGTACGCCCTCGGCTGGGAGCTTAGCTTCCTCGTTGGCGGCATCGCGTACCTCGTCCTTGATCTCATCTGGCCCGTCCCCGGGGACGAGCGCGAGATGGGTTTCGAGACGGCTCCGGTGGGTTACGAAGTTTTTGAGCAGCCTGTTAGTCGAGATCGAGACCTCGAGGCGACCAGCGTTGATGGGGCGTCTGGAAGGCAAGACGGTGAGCTTGAGGGAGAGGAAGCCAAGCTGGACAAGTCGCCCAGGGCTTATGAGCAGGGTAGTCTTGTGTAGTGTAATGCTTAGTGTTTACATCTCCATGAATGTGTTTTAGCCAAGAGTTTGAGTGGTAATAGGATGCAAATCCAGTCGTATATACCGTATCTGCCACGCTTATCCCATGAATTTCGAGTCGGAGCTGTCCAGATCTTGGCTCGAGGCAATATCAGAGGACATATTTGGAACAGTTTCTATCAATAAACCTGTGTGGTGCTGTGATTCCAGTCTGGTCTGGCATGGATGCACGCACGATAATTCAGAACCATGGCAGAACTTCTCTGAGTATCATCCTCCTGCTCGTGACTAATGATTATATCCGCGGAACACATGAATAGCAGAATCTCCTTGTTGCAGTTCAACACAGCATGGGAGGAGTGTGGAATTGGGTCGGATGAATCGAGCAGGGATTATTCGACAGAAAATGCAGCCATGCTTGTCTGGCGAAAAATCACCATACACGCTTCGAGACCTCCCGGTCGACCATCTGTCCTGCGTAACACGTAGCTCCTCGCCCGTATTCACTTTCGTGGCTGGGTCTGGGCGAGTCTGTGGAGTGGGTGGACTGTGCATGCCAGCAGCACAGATATCCCGTCGAGATATCCCGTCGGACTGCCCAATGCTGTGGCCGACGTAGATCAACAGGCAGATCGCTTGCAGGCTGGGGAGGTTGTGGTTGTTCATGCAATCGGCTTGGTTGAGACGGTCTATACTCTGCCAGTGACACAATCCTGCGAGGCTTCGTATGGTCCGTCAGCATCTCAAGTATATAGTCTGCACGCGCACCCACCAAAACTTTCGAGTTTCCATGGTATATGATCTCTATTCACGACCCTAGACCTATACCTTATCATATTATAGCTAAAAGCCTGCACATTGTGTCGATGAGCCGGCTTGACAGATAGCACTATTGTCTTGGACATTACCCCCCCAGCCATCCTCAGCGGCCGTGGTCCAATTGATATCCATCCGCATCTCGACAGGCGAACAGACTCCTCAAATCCCCCCATCTACCGCCCTTTCGGCCCGACAGGCAACTGCAGGAACCCCAGCAGCAACTGCGCAATATCCCGGCCCAGTGTTCGAATTGATTTTGGGTCAGCAAGGCCTGATAGTCGTGTTGACGTTGAACACCCTTTTCTCACGGGGACGCCATTGAGGCGGTCGACTAGCCAAAGGAGCGCGTCTGGGGCACCTGGAATAATGGTTAGCATGAAGGTGAACTAGCCAAGGGAACACGGCCCGGGTACCGGGCACTTACCTGTAATGGCCAGAGTGGTGTGGTCCGAGAGGATGTCACGCAAGTACTTGACATCCGCGCCATTTGAGCAATAGTTATTATAAAGCTGGTCAGTGTCTCTAACAGGACTGATTTCGTCGTTTGTGGATTTGTAGATGAGCAATGGGATACTAGGGGTGTGTTGGCCCATGGAATTCTCATTCAAAATTTTCGTGGCTTCGTGGTTGGTAAAGATGTTCTCGTCTTTGAAATAGGAGTAAATGTCATCGTTCTGATACTCGAGCAGATTGCCAACGAGGCAAAGCTCCTGTGTCTTGTTGAATTCCGCCCATTTCGCTGGGATAATATTCTCGCGGATAAGTTGTGCTGCAGACGGGTATTCATTTGCAAGACCTTTGAGGCCGGCAATGAGAAGTCCAACAGAGGTGCCCTTGTTAATAGCATCAATCACAGGCAGGATCTCCGGCACAGTTCCTCCAAGGGCTGCACCAGCAATCTTCAACTCTGGGGCATATGAGGGCTGCAGTTCGGCTGCCCATCCACTAGCCAGGCTGCCGCCAGAGTATCCCCACATTGCAGCAGCAGCCCGTGACGAAATACCAGTAATACTTGTCGAGGCCAGGGCAGCACGGATATTGTCCAAGACGGCTTGACCTGAGAATATGTTTCAGCATGTGGTATAATACCAGTAACGACTGGTAGAGGCCAAGCAAGGCGACACGGATATTCTCTAAAGAAAGACTGACCTGAGATTATATTTGCTCCATATGCTGACTTTGGGCCAAGGTAATCCGGGACTGTAACAATCCAGCCCTTGTTCAGGGCTGAGCTCATGAACAAATACTCAATCTGAGGTATGGCAAGCGCAAGGGCCTCACCAGCATCGGAGAATTGCTGGAGTGCAAAGGAAGGAGAGCAGCTCGGGTCTGCTGCATCTTGGAAAACCTGGTAGGAAAGCAGTTTGGTGTAGTCTGCATTATGCGGGATAAGGATAGTCGTCACGGTCGTGATAGGCTCGCCAAATGTGTTGGTTGTTCGATAGAGAATCTGATGTGTAGCCCTGAGGTTGACTTTGGCCAGACCGAAAGCAGCGATGGGGAAGGGAGGAGTCCGGTGGCGAAGAATTGTGCCAGGGGCCGTGGTCTCCCAGCTCGGTGGAGGCTGGTAAAATGGGTCTTCACTTGGCGTAAGAGGACCATCTCTTTCACTCACAGCTGGCAAGGCAGCTGCCAGAAATGGTAATAGGAAAACCAGAAGCTGCAGGAGAAGAGCCATGAGAAGTATATCCACGAGACCTGGGTGTCCGAGCAAAAAGCTTGGGGGTTCTGCTCCAATTTGTAGCCCGCACGCTCTTCCCCACAGTACCGGACGATGCCCCCTGGTGCATAATCAGGCGGGGGAATAACATGAGTAGGGGCAGACTCACCCCCGCAAAAGACGGGGTGTGCTTAAAGGGGCAATCCATTTTCGGCGACGATCATTGAGTTGAAAGATCAACACATGTTCCTCAGAAGATGTCGTTAATCGGGACCAAGAATGACCAGCTCGGCTTGCTGCACTGCGAAGCTTACACCTTCCGAGGAGGTTGTACATTAGATATGCTCCGCGGAAGATGTAATTTAATCACCTCAAGATTGGCTGGGCGTCATGGTAGCGCCCCAGCCGAAATCGAAACCAGGGTACTGGAGGACCCAAAGAGAACAGCAGGGCACTTATTATGTACTCCACGCATCTAGGGCTTAGATGACTGATTAATTTATCTAGTTTTCCATGCTCCTTTCTTCCTCTTGAATTCTTTCATTGTCCTTATATTGTGTCGCCTGCAGTTAGAGTTGGTAGGTCCAGCCTGCAGTGAGTTGATTAAAGCTTTCTAATAATAGATCAGCGTGACATGGAAGGTCAAGGCAGGGGAATCCCGACCATCCAGAAAACGTCAACTTGCGGTGAACCAATATCTTGTGCCAATGTTTTGCCCCCTCATTAATTTTGAATTTGAAACAATGATGACTTTTCCTCAGAGACTCACCATTGATAGAAGCATATCACCCATTCCCTGTTTCCGCAATCCATGGGTCTCCATGTCTGTTTCATCCCGCCATCACTTATCCACCAGCCCACCAGCACTGCACGAGGAATTTTTCCAAAATACATCACGACGATCGATCTAAGTCAAGTCTTGATGGCTCCAGTCTCAATTACTGAATGCCAGCTAGATTCGACGAGACCGATCGTTTAAACGAACGATTCGTCAAGTTTCGACCAACAGAGATAAGCACAAGAAGACTATTGCCCTCATATTTCTAAGCTTGCAGAGGCGGGCTTTAACAAAGTGTTTCTTTCGCAAGCAAGGGATCGGCCGTGAGGTGATTGCACGAATTCCCACTCTCATTGCCGGGCTTCCCCATTACACAACGGCCAGTGAGGTGGCGACGATGGACTTTTTGCGAGTTGTTCTCAAACTACCGATGCCAAAGGTTTTGACATACTCAGCAACATCAGATAATCCTCGGGAGCAGAGTATATTTTGATGGAGCGGGTGGAGGGAGAGAGTCTCTCCTCACGATGGTCATCGCTCACAACTGACGAGCTGAAGGACGTCATGACACAAATCGCTGATCTGGTGAGGAAAATTTTTGATTTCCATTTTCCTGCGTATGGAAGCTTATATTACAAAAAGGACCTTGACGGGGAAACCCAGATACCAACCATGGGGGATTTTGTTATCGGCCCTGTGTCTGCCCGGCAGTTTCGGCATGGCGAACGAGAGAAAATGGAGAGTGGCCGTGGGCCCTGTAGGTTTTCCCCTTTCTCCCTTCCCACTTTTCTCTTGGCTGTCAGAAAAGAACCGACATGAACTGGGCTAATCATTGCCATAGGGCTTTCACCCGTGGATTGTGTTACCTCTCCGACTCGCAGAGAGATGGCTGTCATTCAGCATCACGCCAAAGCTCAGCCTCGCCAGACATTCCTTCTACCAACCAACTACGATATTCACCCCTCCGAGCACAGCTCGTTACTTTCACGGTTCATACAGTTGGCGCCTTATTTAATCCAACCGGGTTCTTCCAGCGCTCTGGCTCCGACACTAAGACACCCCGATTTGAGTCTGGGTAACATTTTACTGGCACCTGGATCCACCAGAATTGCTAGTATCATCGATTGGCAGGATGCCGTGATATACCCGCGCTACATGCAAGCAGGTTATTTCGCGTTTTGTGAGCAAGTCTCCTCGCGGCCTCAAAGTCTGCAGATTCCATCTCTCCCTGATCATTTCAACGAGATGAGTGTTGATAAACAGAGCTGTTTTTCGCCTAGAAGAGGCCAACCTCTATTACACGGCCGCGACAGGTGTAAATCCATGAGCAACACCTGGATGTTTTGAAAACTTCCCTATCTTGGAATGCTACAGTACCTCCTTCGCCAGACAGGGTACCCATGGGACGCAGATGTAATCAACTTACGTGCTGCATTAGTAGGCATCACGACTCCGTCAGTTTGGAGCAAAATATCCTTGGCAGCTTGTCCAGTCGTGTTCAGCGATGAAGAGCGAGAGGCTGCAATCGCGGAATCGCAGGAGTGGAACGAGTCTGAACAGCTATTATCCCGTGTTAGAGAGCACCTCAACATCGACCTGGAAGGCGGGACCGACCCGGACAACTTTGAGAGGGCAGTGGAGGGCAATCACCAGTTTCGAATGGAAATGGTCAGGCAAGCAGAGGCGGACCAACAGGAGATCTGTTGGCGTAATTGGCCGTATAAGGATAAATAGGACAGTAGCATGCCTCCTCAAGAGATAAATGGTGCGCTGTAACATCAACTTCAATGTGCTCCAGTGGTCGTCTGAATAACCGAAGTGGTCCCCAAAGTGTGCCTAATGGTGGAGGATTGTCTTGCCTTTGTTTCCATATGCCTACTCGATCCGAGTAGCTTTGTCTGTAGATGCGATGGCGTTAGTACAGTAATTATCAGAGAGCCTGAGAATGAGACCAATGTTCGCTGGATCTGGGTTAATTTTAAGGCTTTGCCTTCCATCAACACATACTACTATAGTGTCTCTTGGAAGGCTTGTTGCAGTTCAGAGGAAGATTCATGATTCTTTCTCTTTTTTACTGAATTAGTTCCCTACACGAAGCTCTATACTAGACTGAGCCTCTATACTAGCATGGACTTATACTCAATCAGAAGATGGGTTGGGGTAGATTCAAGATTATTCTGCTCAACCCTTCCATCCAACCTGGTGCGAGAAGATCATTGAGGGCTCGCCCCTTTTTAAATATATAATCTAGACAGCACTAGGAGCGGGCAGAGTTGTGACTAGGGATCACTCGCTATGAGCCATAATTGCGAGTTGGAAACTGATGATATGATAGCCTGCCGCGTTCTGTCATAAGGACCCGGCGGTACAAACAAACAAACAATTTATTAACGCCCGGCGGCTGAGCCGAAAGGGCAACTATCACTAAGCTACTAGTACATTTCCTATCGGGTGCCATGTCTCCTTCTAGCCCGTACAATTTCACTTTTAGCATATGCCGTGCCGTCTATCAGTATTGTAAGAGATTCTCGTGGGTTAGTAGTTTTGTTAGTAGGCTGGCTTGAAGGCGCTTCTCCAAGTGTTCAACATCCTATCATCGGCAGTTGAAGCGCGTCTACCATGTCTGGCACGAGGTGGTTGGTGTGAGTTAGTTCGGGAAGGGTGGGTGATTTGTGTTCGACGATATGGTTAGGCGACGTCGAGTTGTCTGGTGGCGATTGCAAACCGTATTGACGCTCATACCGATTCTAAGTTTGGAGTCTAGTCTTGGTTATCTGAGGGCGATTTTCCGCCCAGGAAGAAGGATATATTGCCCTGGTGGGTGTTGGTGCATTGCAGCATTTCTGTCCGATGGGTCGTCCATCTCTGGCATTGAAAGAGAAAGTGCTCTACCATCTCTCTTGCTTGTCCACATTCACACTGGTCCGTTTGCGCAACGTTGATTCGGTAGAGGTATCTGTTTAGTCTTGCCATGCCCGTCCGGAGCTGGGCCAGCACGCTCGCTTCTTTCCATGATAATCGATCATATAGCTGCCGGGTGTGCTTGCTGGGGAGGGCCACGTCCACCCTTTTCACGTGTTTGCCTACTTTCTCGGGTAGGCCTTTGCTGGTGTCTTTTTGGGATCGTGCGATGTTGAGAGTGGTTGACTTTATTCTCGGGAGCTGTATGTATGGCATGGGGTCCTCTTGGGTCGCCGCTCTGGCTTGCACTTTAGCAAGGCCTAGTAGTTTGTTATCCTCGCTTGCGGAGACCTAGTGGATTGTGATCCTGTTTCCATTTTTTCGTAGTCTTCTGATCAGCTTGTATATCAGGCAAACGTGCTCCTGGCCCGACTGTTGTCGCGGGTTCCCTAGTGTGAGTGCGGCCGCTTTGTTGCTCGTGAGTAGCGTGATTCTGTATAATTTTAGTACTGGTAGCGTCTTTAATGCGTGTGCTATTGCTGCCAGCTCTCCCGAGTATGGGTTCTACTCTGATCTTGCGCTAAGTGTGACGGAGAAGGTCTTTAGTCTTGGCTTCTTGTACTTGGGCGGCTGCTTTTGAATCACTCCGCCAAATCCCACTACCTTATTCCGTGCCGAGCTGCTGACTGTGATCTGCATAGACCCGCCGGCTTCTACCTGTGACTCCGGGGTTTGTCCACTATCGGCCTGCAGTCGTTCCTCCCATGGTGCTAATGTAAATGGATTAATAGTTTCTAGTGTTTCCATGTTGATATTTTTTAGCACGTCTGCCACCTGATATAACGGCGAGCGGTGGAATCTTCGGAATTTCCTGATACGATCCGTGTTCCTGCGGAGTGGGTTGGTTTCTGGTAGGGTGTGGATGTCCGTCTACATTTTCACTGCCCGTCTCTAGAACTGGCTTTGCGCTGAGGTAATGTGAGCCTCTGCTTCTGCCACACTAGTTGCGACGGTGAGGAATGTTCCCACTATCGCTTGAGCTCCAACCCGTTGGACCCGGTTGATGGGCCCGATGGCCTTATCTTTAAACGCGTGCATCTAGACATTAGAGGCGTAGTCCACCACTGGAGTAACTGTTGATGTGAATAACTGCCGCGCTGTTGAGGGGGATAAGCCTCTGAGTTGTTTGAGCTCTATTGCTGCTTCTAGGCCCTTGGACGCTGCCCTGGCTATATGTGCCTTGTATTTGAGTCTGGTGTCCATCACTACTCCAAGGATCTTGACGTGGTCTTTGGGTTTAACGGCTTGTTCCTTGATAGTGAAAGGCTCCTGTTCTGATTTGTGTGCTTTGGGGGTGAAGTGTATGATGGCCGTTTTCTCTGCTTCGAATGTTGCTCTACTCCTCCTCTCCTAGTTGAGTGCTTTGTTAATAATCTTCTTAATGCCTTCCTGGTTGCTCCGCGTAGTTGGCCTGGTCACCCACGCGGTGAAGTCGTCCACGAAAGTGATCACTCCGCCGTGGCTGTTGATCTGTCGTTGCACGAGGTCTGCGTTAAAGAAGAGGAATAGGATTGGTGATAGGGGAGAGCCCTGCGGTAGTCCGGCCTGTGGGAGGCTTTGTACCTTAGACCCTTGCCCATTGATTTGGATGGTCGCTGTTCGTTCTGAGTAGAAGGCCTTGACCTACTGGAGCAGCACTTCTGGTATGCCTCGCGCTTTCATCCTCTGGAGTAGTCTTTCCTTGTAGACCCTATTATAGGCCCCTTTGACATCGAAGCTAATCAAGCTCACGACCCGTCAGCCACGCTAGGCCATGTAGATTTGCTCCTGCAGGAGTAGGAGTGCCTGTTCCGCTGATTGCTGTTTTCAGGCTTTAAAGTGAGTGGTTGGGAGCAGGCCGTATGTCTCCACTGCGTGTGAGATCCTTTTTGCTACCACCGACTCTAAAACCTTGCCTAGTGTCGCGAGAAGTGAAATCGGCCTCTAAGCTTTCGCAATGGTGTAGTCCTCTTTGTTCGGCTTTTTAAGTGGTATAATCTTCGCATGTCTCCACTGACTTGGTAGCGTGCCCTCTTCCAGCGACGCCTGGAACAGGTCGAGAACCCTGTGTTTAACCGCGGGCCAGGTCATCTTCTAAACTATCGCCGGTAGACTGTCTTCTCTAGGTGCCTTCCATGATTTTGCTTTGAACAGTTGTCGCTCTATTTCCTCCATGGTGATGGTAGGCATCTCTACTGGTGCCCTTTGCGGCCTGGCTCCTTCCTCCTCGATGTTATTTAGTAGAGAAGGAAAGAATTTAGCTAGTAGCTCTTCTGCTTGTTCCTTATGATTGGTGGTGGTGGTACCATCTGCTCGGACGAGCTGTGGTACCTTCCTGAATGCTGTATCGTCTCTACTCTTCAGGTACTTGGCGGCCTTCTATATGTTATTGTTGTCTGCAAGGAACTCCTTCCAGTGGTTTTTCTTTTGTTGCTGGATGGCATCGTGGTACTGCTTCGCTGTACTTTTAGCTGTCTCTTCTAGATGTGATGCGATTCGTCCTGCCTATCGCTCCGAGCGGGCGTGATTTCTCTAGTATTTGTAGATAGAGCGGAGTTGAGTTAGGTTCGTTGTCCACCACCTCTTTGCGTATGGGGACGGTCTGGCCTTTGGTGTCAAGGCATGCACCGCCTCCAACACCGCGGCTATTAGTTGGTTGGTTCTCTGCTGCACTGTGCCGTCCGCTGGTGTGCTGTCTAGGCTTGTGGTAATTCTAGCATTGATCTCCTTCCATGGTGCGTTTTTGAGCAGCAGTCGCTCCTGCTGTTTAGAAACCGGAACTGGAACGTTAAACACGGTCTTGATTGCTTAGTGGTCGGAGCCATGCTCTGTCCCATGTACCGCACACTTGACCATGGAACCCGTCAGATTCTCCGAGGCAAGGATGAGGTTGATAGTTGACTCGTAGTCTCTACCCTGTCCTCCCCCCTGCCATGTCTTTGTGCCTCGTTTTAGTAGACTGCTGAGGGCAAATTTATTTATAAGGTCAATGATTGAATCCGCTTCGCCCTGTCTCTCCAAAGACACGTCGTCTCCTCCCCAAAGTTGATTATGTTGGTTGAAGTCTCTTATGATCATAACCTCCACCACTGCGCCCGTATCTCGCCTTACCTTGGTAATTACCTCGCGTAGACTAACGCACGTGTCACGCAAGGCTTGGGCATCTCCTCCTTCTACATAAACTGATGCCATAAAAATCAATCGCTTGGGGAGCTGGATGACCGCCGCTGTTAGATCTGGGGATTTAATGGGCACTTGCTCCGCTTCCACGTCCTTTCTTACCTAAAGCATGCTCTGGATTACCCATCTGCCTTCCCTCCATGCGGAGGGGACTATCTTCGTCTATTTATGATGTCCCATTAGAGTTGTTAAGAGTCGGCCGTTGATTCTTCTTGCTTGAGGTTCTTGGATTGCTATTGCCGCTGTATTCTGAATTTCTTTGTTGTTTATTAAGCTGTCATGTACTGCTCCCTGTTTCCTTACATTTAGCTGAATTATTCGGAGCGTCTTATTCATGTTGTACTGGATAGAGCTTCCAGCAGTTTCTGCTATACGATTCATGTGGACCTCCGCACGGAACGTACTTGAGGACCGTCTTATTGTAGATGTTATGGCGGTGGCCTTCCTTGGCGCATTTCGCGCACTTCTGGGTGTTGTTGTATTGGAATGCCTTATGTCCAATCTCTTGGCAGTTGTAGCATTGTGTCGGTCGTGGTCGATGTTTAAAGGCGCTGGTAACGCCAGATTCTCCCCTAGCGTGGAAGAAGCCCTTGGCTAGGAGCCTTCGTGCATAAGTGCCTTTGGTCAGGTATACTACTATTAACCTATAGGCCTTCGCACTTTCCTTTCTGCTGAGCCATGTGATCTTGGTAATGGTGGTTTTATTCTCCTCGCTGAAGGCTGCCGCGGCTCCTGCTCTAATCTCGCCTTGTTTATCTAGCACGGCTGCTTTCTTGACACTATTAACTTTGATTGGGTAGAGGTCGTCACGGAGCACTTAGGCTCCTGCGCTAATTATTACTTCTGCAACTTTCTTCACTAGCTGGCGTTCGGGTTCATCTTGGCAAGTAATTTGGATCTGGTTGGTGTTCTTCGGGTCCACCGTAACCGCTCGACAGCGCTAGTTAGTGTGGTTTTCCATGGTCTGGATCTCTTTCTCCACTGCTGCCCTAATTTGGCCGGCGGGCATTCTCTCGCTACCATCATCGGCCATATTCGAGGTATCTATCGTGCAATATAACGTATCGGTGAAGGTGGTTGGTGTCGTGTTAAACGAGGAAAGAGTCCGTATGTTGCTTGGCTGGCTCGTTGGAGGAGTGCGGGCGACATCTGCGTAGGACAGGTTGTTCGTAGGGTCTGGGGTGGTTATAGAGGTACGTAGGGATTAGATTTCGCGGAGTGTCTTGTCATGGTTAGTTTAGGATGTGGCTAACTTATTACGCAGCTCTGCTAGTTCCTGTTGCATTCCAGCAAGAGCCTCCGTAAACTGAGTTTTGGCTTCCCTTATTTCATCTCTATGGGTTTCGTCCCTTCTCTTGATTTCTCTTCGTAACTTGGCTAACTCTGCGAGTAGCTCAGTCATTTGCGGGTTGCTGTTACCGGTTTCTGTTTCGTCCTCTGAGCTGTCAACGCGCTCTGCTACGGTTTCATTGCGGGTCTTTGGTCTGCCTCTCCCTCGGCGTTTAGTTTGACTGCCCAACGCATATCTTGTAGCTTCCTCTTCCTGTTCCCGGGCATAGTTATTTGGTGGTCTGGTGACTCGTTTGGGTCATAGCCGTGGTGGTGATTCTTCGCGTTCGTCGCGGTCGGGGGTTTCAGGTGTTTCGGCCCGTCCCGCGCGCGCGTCGCGTGTCGGCATCTTGCCCACAACCTTCGGCAAGTCGTTCCGCTTACTTGGTTACAGAGGAAGTCGTTCTTTGTCCGGGAAGCTCTCCGCTCGTCCCGGCAGTTCCTCTTTTCTTCGTATCCAGTACAGTGCGTCTCCTTCACCCGGCGGTACAGTGACGCTCGAAATCGGTCTGACCTTCAAACAAATGATCTTTCGTTCCCAGCCCCACTGCCAAGCGCCTAGCGCAAACCAGTTATTGAGCAGCTATTAATACCATTCGTATTATTGAACAGAATTTTTTTTTCCCCAGCTTTGTGCTCGTCGTACATTATTTATGCAACGTCACGGTGCTGTCATGCATCCCATCGCTCATAACCTTTTGTGCAAACGCTCAAGTCACGTGCTGTCGGGAAGGAACGAGCCGCTCTGCACACCCCACTGAGTCGAATTGCGCGAAAGGCATCTTCGACTTACAACAAATTCCATCTTACCGCAGAAGGCTTAAAATCCATTGATTACTTTGTGATGTGGAAGTACGCGATGATTCACGCGATTCCAGTATTCACGCTGCCCCTTCCTCCGGGCGGCTATGCAGACCTGCGGTTGGTGAATATAAGCGCAAGGCTACAGACACGAACACTCCTCAATTGCCGCGCGATCTCAGCTCTGCTTACGCTCAAGACAGGTCGCTTTCTCATGATTCGGCATAGCAAATCTGCGTGACCCTCGATACTAATCTTTTCGTGCCCTTTCCTGCACCTCATGCAATGCGACCGAAAAGCCGAAACGATTTTGCGATCGCGATCATCTGCGCCCTTCCTCTGGAAGCTGACGCCGTCGAGACCTTGTTCGATGAACACTACGACCAACTGGGGAAGTATTATGGCAAGCGACAAGGCGATGCGAATGCGTACATAAATGGAAGGATTGGCAAACATGATGTGGTCCTGTGCTATATGCCAGGAATGGGAAAACGAAGTGCAGCGGGTGTTGCCGCCAATCTGCGAGTCAGCTATGTGGGCATCAAGCTTGCTTTAGTTGTTGGCATCTGCGGGGGCGCCCCTTCTCCGCCAGAGTACCGAGAGATATTCCTAGGCGATGTGATCATCAGCGATTCCGTGGTCGAATATGACTTTGGCAGGCAATATCCTGGTGGTTTCCTACGAAAGACTGGCGTCAAAGAGACTGGTAGGCCAGGTCTAGAGATTCAAACTCTCTTGAATGGCTTTCGTGCCGAGAATAACCATAGAAATCTTCGGAACCAGACGCAACACTATCTTAAGGCTCTCCAGCAAAGAGGGGCAAAATGGTGTCGTCCACAAATCAGTGATATCCTTTTCAGGGCTTCCTACGTGCACAAGCATTGCAGTTCTGCTTCTCCTGCCAGTTGTTCCTGTTTTGAAAGCGACTCGGTGGAAAAGATCTGTGACAAGGCGTTAGAGAAGGACTGTGACGAGCTTTGTTGTGATAGTGGCCAACAAATCCGACAACGAGAGGTTTCGGAAGCCAATCAAACCTCTGTTTATATCGGGACAGTTGCTTCTGCCGACACGGTGATGAAGTCTGGAGAGCATCGTGATGAAATAGTCAGAAGAGAAAAGGTTATAGGTTTTGAGATGGAGGGTGCTGGGGTCTGGGACCATGTCCCATGTATCATTATCAAGGGCGTGTGTGACTATGCCGACAGTCACAAGAACAAGTTATGGCAGGCATACGCAGCCGCGGCCGGAGCCTCGGCGGCAAAAGCTCTCTTGGAGTACTGGGTGCCTAGCAGCCGCGAAGGTTAGTCAAATTCTTAGGGTTATTTCTGAGAAGCCCTTCTAAGCTATGCCCGCTGATAACTAGCCAGTCACCCATCTTGTTTTCGAAAATATTCCTTTCCCGAAGAATGAAGGTTTTGTTGGTCGTGATGGACAGCTTAGTCAGCTTGAAGAGCTGCTGTTTTCCCCAGGCCGCCAGCACAAGGTTGCAATCACTGGCCTTGGCGGTGTTGGTAAAACACAGATTGCCCTCGAATTTGCGTATCGAACCCAGCGGTTGCGACCAGAATGCTCAATTTATTGGATTCCTGCTGCGAACTTTGAGACACTCCAACGAACGTATTTCCGCATTGCCCAGCAGCTACTATTGGCAGGACTCAAGGAAGAGGGAACAGATGTCAAGAAGCTTCTCAAGGATTATCTCTGCGACAGTAGCGCGGGCGAATGGTTACTAATATTTGACAATGCGGATGACATTGACATGTGGTTTGGCAAGTCCAAAGGCGACACCGAGCCATGCCGGTTGAGCGATTATGTTCCATGGAGTAGGACAGGCAGCGTCCTATTTACCACGCGTTTCAAGAAAATCGCCTCCAGGCTCGCGATGCAAAATGTGATTAAAGTCCCAGAAATGGACGAGGCGAGGGCCCTAGAGCTTCTTAGCGAACGCCTGTTGGAGAAGTCTCTGCTACAAGATAGAGAACAGGCTGTACTGCTTCTAAAGCAGCTCGTTTACCTTCCGTTGGCAATCGTGCAGGCTGCTTCTTATATCAATGAGAATTGTCTGAGTACGCTCTCGGAGTATCTGTCGCTCTTATCAGCAAAGGAGGAAGAGATGATTAACTTGTTAAGTGAAGAATTTGAGGATGATTGGCGTCCTCATAATGCTACAAATCCAGTAGCCGCCACATGGCTTATATCTTTCGAGCAAGTACAGCGTACTAATCCCCTTGCTACTGATATTCTGTCATTCATGGCATGTATAGAGCCAACAGAAATTCCAGAGTCCCTTCTGCCACTACCACTAGCTGCATCCCGTCAGGCATGGGTCGAATCCCTTGGTATACTGGAGGGTTATGCCTTTATTAGTAGGCGGCCTACGAAATCATTTGACCTTCATCGACTTGTTCATGTTGCGACACGCAATTGGCTGAGGAAAATTGGAAGTCTGTCAAAGTGGACCCTTATAACACTTACAAGGCTAGAAGGGATCTTCCCTGACGATGATCATACAAACAGAGAAAAGTGGAAGACCTATCTACCTCACGCACTAGGACTTTTGGGGAAGGATGAAGTCCAAGGCATTAGGCAAAGATATGAGCTGCTTTACAAAGTCTCAATGTGCCTTCTAGCGGATGGCCGAGCGACGGAAGCCGTTCAGTACCTTGAACAACATTTAGACTGGCACGAAAGGCAATATGACGAAGAGCACCCTGATCGACTTGCTTCGCAGCATGAGCTCGCGCGTGCATACCAGGCCAATGGACAGGTTAAGCAAGCAGTGGTCCTGCTAGAGCATGTGGTCACAGTCTGGGAAAGAACCCTTGCTGGAGAGCACCCTCATCAACTTGCTTCGCAGCATGAGCTCGCGCGTGCATACAAGGCCAATGGACAGATCAAGCAGGCAGTGGACCTTCTAGAGCATGTGGTCACAGTC